TTTTTATGTACACATATTATTTTTTGGCAGCGATGTCGCCGGGTCCACAACTGCAGAAGACTTTAACATGGATCAAGCCCAAATTAACAATGGTTCAGCTTGTACAATTAGTTATTATAATAGTGCAAAATATGCAACTGTTCCTTCCAGGATGTGGCATTCACAATGTCGTTGGTTTCATATTTTTGCCAAATGTTTGTGTTAATGTCATATTTTTTCTTAATTTCTATACCAAAAGCTACAGAAACAAGAACGTATCAAAAACTAACTGAACTATATGTAAAGTAAAGCATTTCACCAAGTTTAATGCAAAATAAGTAACTTTAGAGTTACGAACTTAATTTCATTACCTATATCTAATTTTAGGGTGTATCTAAATGTAGACATTTAGGAAAAATATAGAACGATTCATTTGTCGTGTCTACTTATGTGAGGGATGTTACCTTATTCGGCAAAACCAAACAAGTTAAAAAGTCATTATGCAAACATAAATGACGGGAGCGTTTTTTCCTCCCGATAATTTTAATGCTGGGGCCGGGAAAAGGTACCCCAATTTGAAATGCTATATTGAAAACACTTTTTCTCATTAATTTTGGCGCGTAGAATCCAAAACAATTCGTACTTTTTCGATCAGACTTCTCAATCAAAAGTTATAGACTAGAAACCAATTTCGAAAAAAATTCAAAGGGCGGTAACTTTTGAACTAGAAGCCCAATCTTGGAACTGTTTGAAATTATGGATTCTACAGGCCACATTCTATAAGAAAATTTTTTTTCCGGGTCGATCTGAGACAATTTTTTTTTTGGGCTCAAAAAAAGCCTTCCTTTTTTACCAAAAATCGACTGCACCAAAATTTCTCGGGAAAACACTTTTTCTTATTAATTTTGGCGCGTAGAATCCAAAACAATTCGTACTTTTTCGATCAGACTTCTCAATCAAAATTTATAGACTAGAAACCAATTTCGAGAGAAAATTCAAAGGGCTGTAACTTTTGAACTAGTAGCCCAATCTTGGAACTGTTTGAAATTATGGATTCTACAGGCCACGTTCTATAAGAAGGGTCGATCTGAGACAATTTCTTAGTCGGGGCAAAAAAAAGGCAGTGTCTGTGTATAAGCTTCCTTTTTTCCAAAAATCGACTGCACCAAAATTTCTCGGGAAAACACTTTTTCTTATTAATTTTGGTGCGTAGAATCCAAACCAATTTCGAAAGAAAATTCAAAGGGCTATAACTAGGGAATGCAATACCGGGATCGCGGGAACTCGAAATACCGGGATCCCGCAGCATTTTTGCGGGATTAATCCCGTACATAAATGGAGCGGAATCTCGCGGGATTTGCGGTACTGAGGAATTTGTCGACCAAGGGAACGACTCTGTTTACTTTGTTAATTAAACTGATAACTGCGAATCCTTTTTTAAATAATTGTTAAACTTTTTTCGTTAAAAATGTACTATGATTTTTGAGGCACTTTAGTTCACCTATTTGTGCTTTACAGGTGATTTTTTTGAGTTCTAAGTTAGGCTGAAGGTACTTCTTTGTTGAATACTTATTGTGATAATTAGCGTTTTATTTTAATACAGAAATTAAACGCCCAAATTGCTCATTTGCCAATTTATTTAAAATTTTGCGGGGTCCCGCAAATACCGGGATCCCGTGGGATTAACATCTAACGATCCCGCAAATACTGGGATTGAGATTTTGCTGCAGGATTGCATTCCCTAATCGCGTGGATGGTATGTAAATATACAATAATTGAAGCATGTTATTAATTGTGGAACAGAAAAATATAAATCCCAACGTTAAACCACTAAAATTGCAACGAAGTTGTATCGTTGTTTGTATTAGAATTAGAGGTTTTCTAATTACATGTTTAGACCACCTATATTAAACTTCTAATACATGTAGGTACATCCTTTGGTATATGATATCTGCGAAGTTGCAGATTTTCTGTGGGCTGGGTTTCCCTACTTGGACGGTTAGTACACCTACAGGTGTTATTAATGCACTAACTTTGTTAATTACGTTTCAATTTAATTATACTGCCTGTCTGAGCGTAAATTAATAATGTATGCACGAAATAGTGGTAAAAGATTCAATCACTTTTCTTTTAACATCGAAAGCCGCATTCTATTGTAATAACGAAAAAAATGAGTACCTATTATGCAGCAGCAGAAGTACCTACAACATGTCCTCGGGAATCACTCAGTTACGATACTTACGATATTATTAAGTTATTTCAACGGGGACGAGGGATCTGTATTTCCAATGAATAATAACAGCGACCCGACATAACAGATTTGTCTAAATCATAATTTCATTTTGGAGACAAGACTGAATGCATATAACAAAATAATTTTAGTTTCCGTAAACATTTTTGAAAGAAAATACCGTAAGTATTATTTTTGTATGTTGAAATTGACGACTGGCAGAGCTATTGGGGTCGGTTGAAGAGAAAACAGCCAAATAAAGCAGAAATGCTGGCTGGCAGTCCGGCTGAGATCTCAGCAATTACAATAGCTGGAGACCAAATTTTCACAAAACGCTTTCTGCTATAGTGTACAGGGTGGTCCAATTTCGATGGGATTCAATGGGTAAGTTTCTAATTAGCTAAAATGCGATCAGTCGTTTTGTTTCTAGTCCTTTTAGTAACTGCGCTGTTGATTTTTCTATTATTGCTACGAACGAACCAATCACACCGGATCGACGACTTTATTTACTTGTTTAATAGGTATATTTACGAAGAACATTATTCTTACGTTAAAAATAACAAGATAAAGAATGATTAACAAGGCACAACGATGCATGTACATTACGAGGCACAAGTGAAGTAAATTTCATTATTTGTCATACACTTTCTTGCACCCTTTGATATTCATGAACGCTTCCTCTAAGTAGATATTGCGATTTATTCTTGTTGCAAAGATTTTCTGTTATAGCTTCATCATTGCTTGTAAGGGGCTCTCCATAACCACCTCCTCCCGGAGTACTTAGTTGGAAGACGTCCTACACAAAACAATTAGATGTAACTTTCAGGGACAAAAAAGAATTAAACGACGTTAGTACATAGTTTGACAAATTGTACGTTATATACAACCCCTTTCGAGGCGGTAGATTATCAAAGCAGCCATTTGTGTAAATATTAGACAAGCTTTACATAATCCCTCATCCTTTGTTTTCAGAACAAAGTACCCCATACACTTAGGAATTCAAATAGATAAGGTACAATTGTCGCGCTTTATGTTTAGAATGGCAACCATTTTTTAACGTGAGTAAGTATACATTCGTGACACGCAACTAATTATTAAATATACAAGGGACGAATGCTTCAAAAATCATTTAAAACGTATTTACCCCTGGCTCCACGGGAACTGCAGTTTTCGCGCCGAGGCTTATCGTTCTCCCGCTTGATTTAATTAAGAGGTTGACTCCTCGTTTACCAGGCATGCCACCTGAAAGACATACAATAACGTAAATAGTTAATAGAACTTCAACAAGAACCTTCCATGCCATACGGCTGTAACGCTCTTCGTTCTGTTAATACTGAAAGAACAACGGGAGCCCTGAAAAGGTATTCCCTGGTAACTCCGCATCCGCCAACGAACTTTCCAGCTCCACCGGAACCATTACGTAATGTAAATTTTTGTAAGTAAATTGGGTATCGACGTTCAATAATTTCAACGTCTGTAATGCGAGTATTTGTCATATGGACGTGCACTCCAGAGCAGCCGTGCCACGTGGGACCCTGTTGATCACAAGGTCATAAACTAAGACATGCAGTTAAAATACTTACAGCGCCACTTCCACCTGCCACTGTTTCGTAATTACCCCACGACTCGTTGCCGAATGTGATATTATTCATACATCCTTGCGAAGCTGCGCAAACCTTAAACGCCTTCAAAACTACATCCACAATTCTTTGCGAAGTTAAAACATTTCCGCCCACAACTGCTGCTTGATCGCTAGGATCCAGAATAGAACCTTTCGGTATGATTGTTTTGATCGGTATTAAACACCCCTGAAAGCAATTTTGAATTTGCTGAAAAATTAATTGCCTTACGTACTTGGTTGAGTGGTATGTCGTGGCCAACCATGCACCTTAAGCAATAGATTATAGCGGACAATGTTATGGCTTTTGGAGTGTTGCAATTACCCCAAACTTCTGAACCACTCCCGCTGCAAATGTATAATCAATATGAAGCTGCATCACACTTGCATACGTACCTAAAATCGCACACAGCAGATCCCTCCGTTTCATTGAAAGTCACTTTTAGGCGTATCGGTGATCCATCATCCATGTGATCTTCTGCTTCTATTACATTCGATCCCGTTCTCAAAAATGTATTTTTTGCTATCATTCGTAACATATCTCGAACTGCAATCTCAGCATTGGCTTGAATGTGTCCCATGTACGCTTGCACAACTTCCAACCCATACTGGTCGATTAATTCGCATACTAAAACAATTCCCTTCTGGTTGGCAGCGACCTGTGCTCTCAAGTCTGATAAATTATCGGCTATGTTTCTACCCCCACTTTCCAAAATGAGTTTTGTTACTTCATCTTCTTTAAAATTCCCATTCTCTACCAACAGAAATGATTTGAACGCGACCCCTTCTTCACTTAAACTTTTAGAATGGGGAGGCATCGAGCCTGGCGTAATTCCTCCAATATCGGCGTGATGACCTCGGCTCGCCACAAAGAAGATTGGTGTCGGAATACTAAAAAAGTAACTAATTATGCCGATAGTATTACTAGAAGTCTTACTTTTTATAAAATACGGGTGTAATAACCGTAAAGTCAGGTAAATGAGAACCACCGGCGCATGGGTGGTTTGACAAAATAACATCACCCTCCCGGAAGGTGCGTCTGTACTTCATTTGAAACTGCACGGATTCTTGCATCGCCCCCAAGTGCACAGGTATGTGCGGAGCATTCGATACCAATCCACCATCGTTACCGAATAATGCACAAGAGAAATCCAGCCGTTCCTTGATATTTGTCGAAATAGAGGTTCTTTGCAATATTCTAGAAAGGAAAATGCTAACCGCAGAACAGAAACTAATGCACTTACCTTCCCATTTGTTCAGCAATACTCATGAATCGGTGGCCGAAGATGCTGAGTTGTATTGCGTCCATTTCAGATCCAATTTGAGGTACTATACCTGTCCCAATTTGAATTTTTACGTCCCCATGCTTGGTTATTGTTGCTGTACAATCCGGCTCCACTAAAATTGTGCTGAGCATATCCATTATAATAGCGGGGCCTTCTATGATATGCCCCGGTAATAATTTTTCAAGCAGGAAAACATTCGCAGGTTGAGATCCTCCCTCAAAATATATATTCACTCGCTTTTCTATTGATGGTGGTTCGGTTCGCTGTGGTTTATCTTTTTCCACTGGCATAGCACTCTTTCCAATTCCTCTGACACGAATATCGTCCACTATGATTTTTCGACCTTTGATCGTGAAACCAAACTCAGTATTATATCTATCTAGAAATGATTTCAAGAAGTCGCCGTACTTAGTTCCGTTACCGGTCACGGAAGGGCCGCACATCAACGCACAATCGGTACCATCGTATCGCATATGAAGGTACGTTTCACAGACTATATTTTGTTCAACGAAACCTTGATTTTTTAACTCTTTTGTGCAATACTGGCAGAGTTCATCCAAACGTTCCTCAAACAGTGCATAATTTGTGGGCTCGTACACTTTCGAACACGGTTCTTGTTTTTCCTGAACAACGTCCGCAAGTGCCATACCGTAAGCGGATAGAATTCCTACAACTGCGGCTTCTTAACTCTGTCTGAGGACGACTAACATATTACCTGCGTATTTGTGTACAAATACAACCGACATTCCCAACGAACGAGCAATTGCACAAGCGTGCTGCGCACCTGCACCTCCAAAACAAGCCAACGCATGTCTACTTGTGTCGAAACCTTTAGCTTGCGTCAACGCTCGTATGGGTCGACACATAGCTTCATTGGCAACCTGAACAAAACCCATTGCAACCTCTTCCAAGGTCATCACTTTCTAAAACACGATAACTGGTAGAGCTTTGAAGTTTCTTAAATGCGAATACCTTCTCTTTGGTATCCTGATGTGCCAAAAAGTGATTAATTTCCCCTGTTAATTTTTGGAACTCTGCTAAAGTAGCCTCTTTGTCTAAAGGTGACCGTTCGTCAGGTCCAAATATTTTCGGGAAGTACTCTGGCAATAATCGTCCAAGGATTAAATTAGCATCGGTGACTGCTAAGTGACCATCTTTCTTATAACAGACTGGGCCTGGATGGGCACCGGCTGATTCGGGGCCAACCACGAACAAGCCAGATCTAAAATGATTATTGGTAATACTCGACTACAAAAGATTGTTCTACGCTAGTAATCTTGCTTACTTTATAAACTAGAAAGCTTATGGTACAAACATAGCAAACACCTGTGGTTGTTTTGCAAATGGTTCAATTCGATTGGTGTTGATCACGGTGTTTCCATTAATATTTTGGCAGAAACGAAAGTTCTGTATGGAAATTGAAATTTTATATTAAAATACGATTTCGCATTAAATTTAAAACAAAACTCGAAAATTAAAGTACTCGGCCCCAAGCGCTTCAATATTTCCTCACCGGTAATGTGTCATTTTCCTGACTTTGATATGTAATTAACTATTCCTTCCCTGGGTCTGTAATTCTTTTGAATCAGTTAACAAGTTACTCCATGTAAGTGACGGATCAACACCATTTAATCAATGTACCTACCCACACAAGAAACTGCGGAAACATCTAAAATCGGAATAGTCTAAAGATACAGAAAAATACGTACAGTAGAAAAAAATCTGAAAAACAAGAAGAACGATCTAATAATACATTTCGGACACCCGAAATGTTCGAAGCATTTAAGCAAGAGAATGTGAATGACATAAGACATCGCAAGCATCCGAAAAAATTCGAGAAATATTAAAAATAGGAAGAACCTTTATAGGTTTGAAAAATCTGTAGAACTGATGGAAGAATCAAAGGATTTCAAAAAAACCTAAAACATTCGACAAACTTTAAGAATCTGAAGAATTCGAAGAATATACAAAATTTGAAGCAATGGAAGAATTCCACAGATCATATCAAGATTCTGATGGAACTAAAATATCTGATGAAACGAAACAATGGGTAAAAAGTCTCAGACAGAAGGAATCTCGATAGTTCAAAGTAAACAGAAGGATACAAAGAATAAGAAGAATCTGATGACTGAGAAGAATTTAATCAATCTGGAAAGAATTCGACTAAAAAACCTACAAAATGTAAAGGTTATGAAAGATCAAAAAAGTCCGACGGTTTAACAAAACTGAGAATGCGAATCAGAATAATTTAAAGGATTTGAAAAACATATAGCAACTAATAATGGGAAAAACTAATTAGAACGGGAAGAATCTGGAAACAGTCCCAAAAAAATGAAACGTTTTAAAGAATCCTGAGAATCGAAAAAACATAAAAAGTCTAAAGGAACGAAAGAATCCGAAAAATAGGAAAACCCAGAAGGATCAGAAATATTCGGATAATCTGATCAATCCGAAGGAATCTTAAGAGTGTGAAGAAGCTGAAGTATTCGACGTAAATGGAAAAGTTAGAAAAAACGAAAGAAACCGAAGACAATTAAGTACATTTAAAATTATTATGGCTGTACCTAATCACAAGACTATGGGAAAAATCAATTAGTGACATTTTATTGCTACGTTTATTTCTGCATTATGGTAACCTTAATATAGGTACATACAATTTCCTAGACAGACAAAATGCAAAGAAAATAAAGTGTTGCAACACCATACCATTTAAAAGTATTTTTCAATAAACAAATTCATGTAAATACAAGGTATAACATATAAGTGGATACACTTGAATCTATAAACCCGTTAGCTCCTACCTTCCATTCCATTGGGGCTTTTTCAGACGTAGCTCCCAAACGAAACAATTTGGACCAACGGTTAGAAAAAGTATTTACTTTGGGCCCTTTTACCATTACATTTATTTTACATTACAAATGACTGCATGCATTAATTGGCTGCATCTTACAAAAATGGTTGGTATATTGAATGCTATAGGGGACGCATTTTTCGGTATTGAAACAATAAGTAAATACATAGGATGGCATAATGGCTGAATTTCGTTGGGGAAACACCCTTAAAATGTGACAAATGCAAACTGCAAGCTTTTGATCTATTTTTGATTTTGGTATTCAATAAGATTTTAATAAAAAAATTAGAATTTTGGATAATAACCGGCTCTCTCTCGCTCATGTGTTGACATGCGATGGAGAGTAAGTTTGAAATTGGTTGGAAATCACGTAAAGGTGATTTTTGATGCGCCAACCACTGTAACTACTAATTACGATATTGATTTGAATTTTATTCAAAGTTATAACGATGATGGAATGAATTACAGGCATACTTTGTCATATTTAACACTTCAGATGCTTTCAATCACTCTATAACTATTAATAGGGGATAACGAATATACCTGAAGAAAAGCATAGAACCACCTCCGGCCGCTACAGTATTGACATCCAAATGGGGTGCTTGCATGGTAACTCCTGCCGTAGTACTTTCGTAAACATGCTCAAACTTACCAGCGAATCGCGACACGTCGGTGGAAGTTCCACCCATATCAAACCCAATAACTGGAAGATCAGTTTCTTTTTTCCAAGTTGTCATCGCATACCTAAAATTTACTCGGTTTTTGTAAGCCCGAATGATTATAAAGGGACATTAAGATACCCGACAACACCTCCAGCGGGACCAGATAAAATAGCGCGAGCCCCATTAAAATTATACATAGGCGTCAAGCCACCATCACTTTGCATAAATAGAACACGCGTGTCTTTCAAATTGTTATTAAACCCTTTTGCAAATCCCTGCACGTATCTTTTGACGATTGGAGTTAAATAGGCATCCGCCGAAGCGGTAAACCCTCGCGGAACCATCCTCACCATCGGCATAACGTCGTGCGACAAAGAAACGTGACTAAACCCTTAAAATTAGATACACAAGATATTAGAGACGTTACTATAATAACATCATTTTAAATACCTAATTCTTCGGCTATTTGCCCAATTTCCTTTTCGTGCTCGGCGTACATATAACTATGTGCCAAAACGACCGCAATACTGCTAATTCCGGCATTTCTTACACGTTCTAAATCTTGTCGAATTTCGTCACGATTTAAATCTTTTATAACGTACAGTTTTTCGCCCATGTTCCCATCCACGATTTTCCATTCTGCCGATTTTTCGCCTAATTCGCATTTGCCGATAAGTGCGGGTATAACTCTACAATTGACCTCGACGACTTCTGAATATAATACCTCGGGACGTTGAATATTCTGCGGAAGAAAGAAAACCGAATTAATGTAAATTGAAATCGTTTTTATCACTTGATTGAACTTACAAGTTCGAATATACTTGGCCGCGCCTGGTTTCCGATTAATAGTAAATCATGAAAATTCTTATTTATGATCAAAGCCATTTTTTCGCCCCTTCGTTCTAGTAAGGCGTTTGTTGCCACCGTTGTGCCCATCCTTATCCATTCTATTAAGGAACTATCTACGCTTCCATTGATATCTGTTGCTCTCCCGGTCTCCTGTAATTAACCATTTTGATGTTTAGTCGAATTTCCCGAATGAATTTAAAACGTCGAGAACCAATGCAGAAAGTAAGTCAGCAAATTTAATTTTTCAAAGTGATTATTATGTAAAAGGCAATTTAATTTCAGTTACTTTCCTAAAGGGATCATTTTTCATGTATTTAATTTCTTTATAAAGGCATGGAGATATAGCGTAGCGTTATACTTTTCTATTTGCATGCTTTTACGGAAAATATTAATCTCCCGAAAAAATGCCAAAAGCAGGAATCCGTTTCAATATAGAAATCCGACATGAATTCGTACCTTTTTATTTATAATCAGTCGCCTTAATTTTTACAGTGATATCCGAATGAATGCATAGTCAAAATTGGACGAAAGCAAATCATTATAGATTGGGGAATGGTGACAAAAAGTACTGTACGAATTTGGTGGCTTTTGTATGGTAAATACAACATTTGTACATTAAAAAATTATAGGAAAATTTTGTTGGATGCTGTCATATAAATGGAGAAAATGCCACGTTTCATACTGAAACATTTAAAACAACGAAAACGTTCAATACTACCACTTTCCCTTTAACTTAGCGATACGCACAGTACAGCTAAAATAGCACGTTCACATACCGCAATTGCTTTGAAAAGAAATAAGTAATACGCGGATACGTACTTAATAACGAAGTTGTTTGTGAGTGTTCTGTTGTAATTTTGAATCCAAAGAACCGCAATAACAGTCTGGATTGAACGCAATGACTTACTATTTGAAATTTTAAATGGATTGTTTATGTGTTGGAATAGATGAAAGCGTACTCTTGTTCCCCTAAGTTTCTCTACAAACGGTTTATTAACATACTAAGAATTTTACACAAATTCACATTTTCATTCCGCAATTTTATTATTGATCACACTCGATTCGGAATTATACAGGGTGTAAACGGAACTAGGGAACGCGATGTTTCTCGGAAGTTATAACAGATATAAAAAAATCTTTCAAATGAAATTTTAGTGTTTCTAGTAAGCTAATTAATGTAAATAAGAAAAAAATATTTTAATAATTAATAATAATATACCTATTTTTGACTTTTTTTGTTGTATACTTTTTCAAATGAGAAAGAAAGCTACGTAGAACTGGTTCCCTGACAATGGCAGATCGCAAAGTTCGTCAAATAAATGAAAATTTACCAAAATTTGACTAATCACATAAATTTTCTCTGTAATAAAGTATGCCACTACCAGTATGTTTGTTCCATCAGATCAGGAACTTTTGCGTACAAACCTATGCTGTATACAGCTACTGGTAATGCTACTACTAGATTTGTAACCTTTGAGTAGTCACAAAAATTTCTTTGTCTCTTTTAAAACATACCTACGACAGACCCACACCTGTTAAGGGCCCAGAACAAGAGAGGAATAATAAATAAATAAAATAAATAAATCAAAGACAACCCATTGGCTTCATAGAATTTAAATACTCGCTTTAATGCAACATATATTTATAAAGTACCCATATATAAGACTTCTGGAGATCTAAAGACTTCAGTTACTTAATAATCTAAGCCGCAAATACTTCAGTGACTAAAATATCAGAGGAGCTAAAAATCCACACCGCAAAAACATCAAACCACAAAATATTTCGTCGACCTTATGAATACGAAATAAAGATACATACAGAACATTGGAAAATTGCAGAAAACTTAACGACTATTTAAACGTCTATACAGCGTTTGACCGTTGCCGCGCCGCAATTCAATCGGGATAAATAAGGTAGTTTATTTATGATTGGCCTGCATCTATATCCATGAATTGGTATTTCTTAGTGCACAGTCCAATCCATTCAGGATGATTCGATGTTTCTCGAGAAAATCTCCGCGTATGTGCAAAAGCAGCCAGTCCATTCCGTTGGAGTGTTTGTAGAGTTTTCAGTAGCTTCGGTGACTTTTTTGAGAAGTATTTATTCAAAAACCAAACAAGGGTCGCAGTTGGTTCACCACAATAAAATAAATAACGGCGAAATGATGACATGCAAATCCGTTGATTCAGTTACTAAACAAGATGATGTCAAGTATCCAACGGAATTTTTAAATTCGCTGTAATTTCGCCGATTACCACCACATAATCTGCAATTAAAAGGTGGATGAGTACCTAATCATTATGTTGCGGAACATAAACCATCCACGTGCTTGTAATGGCATCCGGCATGCGGTGAAGAAATTAATGAACAACCTAGGTACTTGATAAATGATATACTATTAATGTGTATACTGTATAGTATATTTACCCTAATCATGAACATTAGGTTGTTACAACGTTAAATTTGATTCCTGGCCTCAAAAATACTTTCTGTGATCAAAAAAGTTTATTTATATGTATATATATATATAAAATAAAGAATAAAATATATAGTTAACTTAAATCTTACGTAATAACCTCGTAAGGTAAACCGTAAAGTATAGTAGACCACTGGTTAGAGGAGTACGACTGCGCTTTCACCCAGTGAACGTTTTTCAAATCCGTTCCAAAATTAGCACCACCCCCACTCCAAACACTTTGATTTTGCATTATCCAACACTCTTCCAAAATGTTTCCTTGTTTTCTTGCGATTACCAACGCCTGCTTTAGGCATCTCTCCGCGGATTTACCTTTACCCAAAATTTTTTTATAATACGCCATATAAAGCAGGTAACGGGGCATAAATAACGCCCATTTTTTTGCTAACTTATTACTATATTTCAGGTGCGTTTCGATGCGTTTCTGGTCTAACTCGATGAAGGCTTTCTTACTCGTGATGTTCCATACTAAAGTCAGCAGCATGCCTTCTACAAATTTGTACATGGCCGAGACCATCGTGAAGGATGAAATGTCGCGGGTGTCAATCTTAATTAACGTTTTCCACTTGAGTGCGTCGTGCCACATGCAATTTCGTAAGAAGTGAACGTGTAGGTAGATTATAATTTTGTTTTCATTGTCCGAGTAAAATTCCCTGTTCTTTTGCTTTTCGAAGTACTGTTCCGCGTACTTCGCGCATTTATCGACTGGCTCGAGTACGAAGCTAGCTTCTACGTTTAATTCGACGCAAAAGGCGTAGTATCCGATTAAGACTGCGTCATCAGTGGATTTGGCAATGTTGAACAGTTGTTTAATCACCGAAACCGCGTTTTCTACCCGTTTGGACATAAGCAAAGCGGATGCCAAGGTTGGGATGATTTCCGCTTGCAAGTACATGGCATGAATTTGTACAATTAGATCAAGCGCTCTATAACCAATTCGTATCGATACTGGTACATGTCCGTGCATTAATCGTATTTTAAACAACACAGAAATTAGTTTGCAAATGGCGTACAATTCGATTATTACGTTATCGGTGTACTTTTTCAAAAGATTTAGGCCGATTGCACGCTCCAGGCGTTCACACTCGTGCACGTCTCCAAACATGTTGTATAACTCGATGGCGTTTGTATATGCATCACAGAGCATTCGAATGTTTGCATTTGCGTGACTGAAAATCGAAAGGCTTCGTTCCGCCGCTCTCTTCGCTAGTTCCCATTTACCCTCACTTGCGAAAATGGTACTCAATAACGTCAAGCACATGCCGAAGTCACTTTGTAGGAGAGTACGTTTCTGATTTATGACAAAAGGATACGAGGTTTTATATAAGATCCTAGGTCTATTGAGGAACATAAGAGGAATTTTGTACTTCATCGCCACCAAAGGGACATTGTACTGTCTTAGACTAATGGCAATGTGTATTTTTGCAGTTTGCATCTGGCCCAGGCGTAAATGCGCATCGGTCAGTAGCAAATGTATCTTACTGAGGTACAACTTGCGCCACGATTCGGTAAAGCTTGGGTCCGCAGTGATCGCATCTGACATGCAAAGCTCACTAGCTTCGGTTAGCACAGGAATGCAATCATTAAACTCGTGTAAGGTAAGTAATATTACACTGTACTGCATCAGGTAAAGTATTCTTTTTCCCGTATGCTCCGCTTGCTCACTGTGATGAATTAAATCCGCATACACTCTTGTCAAAATCTCTAAACAGAAACAGGTCGACGGGTCCCAGAGCTTTCGCTTGTACTGAGGGCTAAAGATTGAAGTTGCAGAGTTAACGTTCTTGGAAATATTTTGTCTGATTATGTTTTTAACATTACCAGGCAAGTATGAGTCGTAATAGTCTGGATACTGTTCGGTATCCGCATATTGCATCATCTGTTTGTAGGTACGTAAACGTATAATAGAAGTGGAGTCATCTCGCAGGCAATTAGGGCAAGAGTTATTTTGATTCTCCAAAACGTCGGTTATGTGTAAATGTAATTCTTTCCTTTGATTGGCTGGTAAAAGTTCGTAAGCTACGGATCGTAGGTTTTTATTCTTGAAGTGTAAAAGTTTGCAAAAGGCATACGGGGGAAATGCAGCACTCTCCCTTCTGATGTAACGATCGTGTTCGTCAGTGTAGCAATCGCAACACAACTTCTTTGACGCTAGGCTGCCAGTGCTTATGTATCTGGTACCACAATCCAGGACCTCTTCCTTGAAAAGATTCGCGATTGCGCTAGCGAATATCTGCTCTTTAGGGTACTTCAGCATGACAAACAATAATGAACGCGTAAACATTTCTCCCACAACAGCCCCTATTTTAATCACTAACTGCTCGTAAGGTGGAAAAGAATCAAATAAGTCCAAAGAAATCGCGGCCAAGGTCAATTCATTAGAGTTCTCATTAATACTTGCCTCTAAATGTGCAACAGAAATTACTCCCGCTTTACTCGCGCAAACAGCTTCATTAGAATGTTTCAACCGCAACAAGTTTGGGTTTGGAAACGCGTAAGTATCAAATTTATCTGATTGTGCCGTAATAAACTTAACTTCAATTCTCCCGTTATTTACTAATCGTAAAAGACAGCTTTGTATCCAACCAGGCCTTCCTTCACAAGTTTTAGCGAGCAGCGCTACCAGTTTCTTTGATATTCCTTTTGTTTTTAAAAACTGACAACACAGAGGGAATATATCGTCGTTATTCAAAGGATTTAAGTCTACCATCTTTACCTTTGCACTTTTCGATAATTTCCATTGCACATCCCAAGTGCTTTCTTCAAAATCGCCAGCGCAGAACATTTTCAGTTCGGTCTCTGATACAACTGCAGTTATCACTTCCAAACTTTGCTGGTCGATAAAGTGAATATTATCGACAAAGATTATTGTTCTGTCATTATCTTGGATAAAACAAATCGCTTCAAATAAACTAACCATCTTTGTACGTTCGGCTGAACTGTCTTTGCGAGATTTCTGCATGATTTCCTTGAAGTCCCACAATTCGGGAGGGAAATTAAGCAACTTTCTTGGATTTTCTGACAATGTTGCTCTTTTGTCAAAGATTTGTTTGTAGAGGCGGGAAACGCAAAAATACGGATGCAAAGAGGCTGGCGTTAGAACCATGGCGGCAACGATGCAACCCTTCCGCTCGAACTGCATTGCTGCAGTTTCCAAAATCTTCGTCTTTCCCGTTTTTTGTTTTCCATAAAAGCAAACGCCCGAGTACCCTTCCAAGCCCTGCACTTTGTTAATTACGCCGCGTATTAAAGCTAGTTCATCGGCTCGTCCAATAATTGGCAGTAGAGATGTTTTAAAATAGGTTGGTTTATGAAAGTTTTGGTTGTACTCAAAAATGTGTCCTGCGTCTTCAATTCCTTTCAGCTTGATAGTTGACTGCATTTGAAAATAGTAAGAAGACAATTTCGAATTTTTGAACGTCCTGTAGTCACACGTCACCTTATTTTCGAAAGCGCACATCAATCTCGCAGCTTTATTAACTGGCGCGCCTATTACTGTATATTCCCTTCTGAGAGGGTGACCCACAACTCCACAATAAGCCAAACCGTTAGTAATTCCGACCGATACACTTTTGATGCTCGCAATCTTCGACGCTTCCACAAAAATTTGAAAACCGGAGATTAGCGCATCTTGACTTTCGAGTTCGTGCTTATTGCCTCTCAAACCGAACAAGGCGAGAATCATGATGTCTTTGTCGAACAGTATTACTTTGTTGACAACCCCCCGAAATTTGCTAACGATGTGCGTCATAGTATGGTATGCCTCATCTACAACACCTGCAAGTTTTGCTGAAGGAAGGGAAGTGGAAATAATATTCACAAACTGTATTGTAACTTCCCGTAATTCGGTTAGATACTCCAATGGCTGCTTGCCTTCGATCTGGTCTTGAACAGGTTTGATAACAAATTTTTTCATATCAGATGCTAGCCACCTTTGTGTTGCTATATGGAGAACGGTTCTTTGCGGCAACGAGGAAATAAAATTCTCCATTATTTTGCTATCTGGTAATGCGATACCGTCCTGCAATTGCAGGCGATGTTTTATGTGCTTATTGCACAGTTCTTTCGCAATCTCTTCCTTTTCTTCGTATTCGACCTTTTGTTTCCTCTCGTCCGGCTTATACAGGCATTGCCATACCTACAACATTGTATTAGTTATTACATGACCGCAACTTATCTAAAACAAATTGTATGGAGGTATATAGTAGAGCAGTGGTATTCAACCTTTTTTCTTTGTGTACCCCCAAAAATAAGTTACTTAAATTGTGTATCCCCACGCACATTTAATAAAAACAAAAAAAATTATAAGTACAAGTAGAGGGAACCAACACTACCAACAGAAACATTTATTCTACAAAATCAAAGCTGGAGATAAGTCCGCAAAGGTTCATGCCATTTCAGATTTCTTAAAATACCTACCCTTTGCATAGCTTTAAAGAGAGGCCTTTGAACATGAAAATAACCGATCCAAATTGTTTTGATTTTTCTTTACACAAAAATTATTCGGCAATAAGTTCTCAAATAAGATTTTATATAACAAAGTATGTTCGCTAACCAAGACTAAAAGTGTAGCGGCAAGCGGCTCGGTATAATGATAGCATATACTCTCGAAACTAACTTCAACCGCGTACCAGAATATATTCGGCTCTTAATAGAGGGGCCATTTTTGTGAAATACAGTCCCCATTTGCATCATGTTACATATAAGTATACAAAACAGCGGATGGTAGCAGAGGCCCAAAGAAGCACTTTTTCTTAACAAACCTCCCACAATCAATTAGGTACAACAATTTATTGTTACAGCATATGTAGCACAGAAAAATTATAAAACTAATACGGATTTACGTATGTTTTTGAGTATGCCAATGCAGATTTATAAAAATACTTTACCGATCCCTTCAAAATATGGTTACTTATTTTGGTCCATTATACCATCCAATTTTTTCATACCAATATGTCACATTCTGCATAAATATACTTGTATAAAACATGGAGTGCTATCAAAGCAGTTTTCTAGGAAGTTAAGAGCGCTATAATGCAGACGTTTTTGGTACTAAAACACACAAATTTATTCATCTCTTAAGATCTTCTATATTTTTCAATGGTGGAACAAGTATTGAAGATTGAAATGCATTTCAAGACCGAAACTAGTTCAATCCTTCAGTTTCTCCAGATTTGCCCTATTTCAGTTGGTCCAAATTCTTCCCATTTTTCAAATTCTTTCGGTTTTTAGCATGTTTTTCAATTCATGTTGGAAGACCCTATTATGGCCACTTTCTCTGTCCGTCCATATTTATTCTAACTTTCGATTCGATGTAATTGTAAAAGTCCATTTTTGTACAGGATTTTTGATAGCAATTTACAAAATACGAAAATGCACATCCAAGCAACTATAATAAAGTTGGATTCAGGGGATGCATCAGCTTCCAAACGAGGCATTTTAAACTCTTAGTTCATTTCAAAAATATCAAAATGGGTTATACGTTTATAAATGGCAATGTAACGTTATAGGCTGGTACAGAGAACCGTTTAACTTTGCACACATTTCCTTAATGTTTCTGGAGGCATGTGGTTGGCATGGGAATGTGTTAATTATTTGCAAACCCAAAGACCTTTCCGTGAAGTATCAAATCATTAATACACTTAAAATCATTTACAAATTTGCGAATCCAATAAGCAAACAATAAACTCACCTTTACATTGCCTCCTTCGCCATATGTAACCTCGTAGCTTTCTTCGGAAAGATGTCCCCAAGCATTGGGAGCGATAACGACATCTCCGGAAACACTGGCACGTTCTGCTCTTTTAACCTCATTGACAGCATCTCCAAGTGCCGCGTAATGCTTATTATTCCTATCGCCTATAACTCGAAAAGTCATATTTCCGCAAGAAATCGCCAATCTAACTTTAAGCAGAACATTAACTTCAGTCTGGAAGCGTCCCAAGTGTTGCTGAATAAAAAGTGCGCAAACTATCACTTGATGTATAACTCTGTATAAACATTCGTCGGGTTCGGCCTTCCAAAGTGCTAAAAAAGCATCTCCTGAAAATTTCAAAACGTCTCCTCCGTAAAAGTAAATCACTTCAACGATTGCGCCGACGAACGCGTTTAAAGTTGCCGTCAAACGATATGTGCCGCCCTTTCCAGTTTTATTATACTTCTCGCAAAGGGCCGTAAAGCCGGAAATGTCCGCGAAAAGAAAAACTCCCACAAAATGGTGAAGCGCGTTTAACTTACTGTGGGGTATCTTTATCAGAAAATCGGGCAGAAATGTCGCCAGAATCTCGATTTGCTTCTTAATTTGACTTATTTCGAATTTTCTCAACGCTTGAGTTTCCCTTAAGATATTTCCCGTAATCGTACTCCTTCTTGCTCTCGTTTTATTCATTATTTGACTTATGGGTGTTGACATCGTGGCAATTTGTTTACTTTGAACAGGCTAGATTTTATAAAGCTAAATACTGACCTCTTGTAGAATACGGCGTATACCCTCAATGGGGGCGTCGTCGTAGTGCTGTGGGTCTTCGGAAAGTAATTTTAATACCCTGATTTTACCACCAGGGCAACGGGCAAAGACATCGGTGAAGGTACCTCCCCGATCGATCGCAAATTGAAACTTTGAGTCGTCGCCTGGCATCTACAATGCAAATGAAAATCGCGATATAATATTTCCATGAGAGTTATAAATTCGCTCCTTTTAAATGAAGCGTACCGTAGTTATATGGTATAGGGGGTATGCTAAAATTTAGTAATTTCATTGCATTGGAAATTACGAAATCGTAGAAGGTCCTACTTGCGTCTCATAATTCAGAATTGTAACTCGCAATTTTAAGTTGACACTCGACGTTCCGAGTTACCACCCGCAATTTTGGAAGTTATGTTGAATGTAAACACCCTTTTTTAACCCCCTATGACAGTTCTGATGATGATGGAACGAGGAATGCCAATTTTGCCCACTGAATGACAATTTTGCCAGAAACGCTCGAACACGTCAATTTTAGTTTTGAGGGGGACACCTAAATTAAGTAATACTACTTACATAACTTTAACCCTGAAAAGGGGGTGCATTGTACCCGAAAAATTTTAAATGGGAAGAGGTAGTAAATGTTAGATAGGTCGAAAGGAATGTTCATTATGTTTTCAGAACTGTTTTTATTTTTCAAATCCAATCAGTAGTTCCAGAGAAAACTCAATTTAAATGGATTTGCAGAGCCGTTTTAAATGTGTATTAAGTAGGCGTTGAAGTTGAAATAATTGAAAGCTTGTGCAATAAGTGCACAAGCAATGAAACGAATTTGTGATTAACTTGTTTAAGTTTGTGGTAAATTCAAAAACAATGACGGTTTTTTACACTATAGCGAAAAAGGTGAAAATTGCCTCAATTTTTTTTAAATGGCGATATTCTGCCTTTACAAATTCGCATCCTTGCTTGTGCAGTTGTTGCACTTATGTCAGATGTTCTTTTCTGACACAAGCTCTCACTATAAAAAGTGACTTGGGTACTGCCTATACACGGCATTAAGTCCTTCTTTCTCTTTGAGCCTTCTTTCTGTTTGAATGTTTTTTCCTTTAACTTATGCAAATGTTTTGCTTTGGCATGTTAACAGAAACAAATATTATTATTATTATTTAATAAAAATTATTGTTACTGCAACCAACCTTGACACTTTCCTTAACACCTTATTTTTTGAAATTTTAAAACACAAAATAAAAGAAAAATGTAGGTTAGAATGTAAAATTTCCCCTACACACAGGTAAAAGTAGTGGAAACATACCGAATTGGGTAATTAAAAAATTATTTGGATTATAAGCAATGGAAATATACTCACACTTTTAGTATTTTCCGTTATAGATCCGTAGAAAGTGCACCGAAAACCAATAGTAAAAAAATTATAGCGAGTATATTACTTTTAAATAAATGATAGCGTTTATTGTAATAGGACTTTAGCACTTGACGACGTTTGATGCGAAAATAGCAAGGCGCTTAATTTTTATATGAAATTAACGTAGGAATCATGTTTGTACGGAAAACTACATTTTTGCTATTCATTACTGAACTAAAAGTTCAACGACTACTAGCTCACGCTGATAAGGCCACTTTATGAGATATGTACCTAAGTATGTGGATTATCTTTATACATCATCGGTTATCTAACTACCGAAACACTACTTAGCAAAGCATTGTTGTAGGTTAGCTACATGTGTTTAATGTCTATCAATTGGCTACAGTTTGGACCTATAATGTGTAGCCTTTAGCTTCCTTCTTTTTTTTATTTCAAAAATGGATGAAGGAAATGCTAACAATTTTTCACTGTTAAGAAACGACGATGGGTTAATGGAGAAAATAATTGGAAAGGAAGAGCACGGGCAAAGTTTGACAGACAAAAAAACAAGATTACGCCAAATTGTTTTGGGGCGGAGATTGCTTCAAAAATTAGGGTGCTAAATAGTAGTAGTTTTGATCATTCTAGCTACCAGCGGTATGCAATTAAGAGAACTCCGCACCAAGACTCATTTTCTGCAATCAACGGTAGAACAATAGAATAAAAAATTGAAGGTGTAAATAAATCTCATTCGGTACTACCTATCTTGCAACAATTTGGATACGATTTCGATAACTTTTGGGAAATACCTATATGCTAAATTTTCAATGTCATTCAATTTATAAATAACCATGCCATGCGTATAAACAATCTGACATTCACATTCCATTGAAACTGTTACACAATGAATTAAGGTTATTAGTTATTACCATTCATTAAAATATATTAGTGGGGGTTACTTCGCATATCTGCTATGAATGACCCATATACTAATTATTAATTTATTATACTCCTTACCACAATACTGGTTACAATTTAGCCCAGCAAGGATTAATTTCAAAATTTGTCAAGTGGAAATAGTTTATAAGCACAAACGGAAAATGTAGTACCACAGATTTATAGTATATTTAAATCTGTGGTAGTACTTTCCCTGCACTCCCATACCTGGCAAGCTAACGCAGTAATACTGAACCAATCTTGATTATATAACTTTATTTATGGAAAAATTAGTTATTTAGTGAAATAAAAAAAATGAATTCGATGTCGTAATTTGCTATTTTCCCCTACATTTCATTTGTATTGAATTACGAGTGGATACGCTGTACTAAAAATTGTATAAATACTTATAAAGTTATAAATATAAATGCAATATGTAAAAATCATGGCGCCTAAATACAGGCCACCAACACTTCTTTGTACACTGTTTAAAATCTCTCCATTATTACAAACAAAATAGGCAACCTATGTAGCCAGTACGCAAATGGTTAAATAAATTAAATCAGCTGGAGCACTTTGAACTTCATAGAATCCTCATAACACGTATTAAACTCAAAATTTGAAACGCGTTGAACGATTCGAAACGCTGTAAAATCGTCTGAACTTGTTTCTCACTAACTTTTAAGCGATTCAAAATCCCTTAAACTTTTCAAAACTGCATTACACGCTTTGAAAAATTCACTAAAGCTCTGAACGTTTCGATTCTTCGACATTCTCTTGAACCCTCAAACTTATGAAACCGCCTGAAACTTCTTGAAACTCTACAGTGCTTGAAAAGTGTTTGAAATTCTCTAAAATTCAAATTAAATATGCTCTGATATATTTTTTTAATCCATAATCTCTGCAACTGTCTGCAATGATTTAAAAGCTTTCTGAGAGCGTCTACAATTCTTTAAAGCTCCATAATAAAGCTCTCTAAATATCCTTGAAAGCTCCTGAAACTGCATAAGTCTTCCTGAAATCCTTCCAGGGGGCGAAATTAAACACATTTTGCAAAGCGCGCGTCTTCGAGGAGTAGTCGTCTTTGGGCGCCCAAAGGTTTATTAGAGCTCGTATCACCGTATCACTTTCTCTCTCGTGTTGTCAATAGAAGCTCGAGCTATGAGAAATGCCCCAAAAATGGAGGGCTCTTTTGTAAAGTTTTTAGCGAAATCCACCAAAATGCAAATTGCGTGTGGGTACGGCCAGATGGAATGTGGTTGACCCGGCGTATTGGCATTCTGTACTATTATTCAGAGCAGCTCTGGGTCTGATTCGCGGTATGGCTTCACGTTATGCCCCCCGGCAAGATCTTACTGATGGTGAAGTTAAAACTTCACACGCGAATTGCGTCAGAAGTGGGTACCCAAAAGGGAATATGGTAGCCTTCGACAAGTATTATTGATAGTAGAGTCAAAATACTCGTAGAATACTGATTTGCCACACAAGAATGTGCTGTAGTCCCTTCGATCTCACACGAGGAGGATTTTGATAATTTTTATGTTTAACTTCAACAACCGTTGTAAAAATTTATCACTTTTTTGATTCGTGTCTCGTATCTCGTGAAATGAAGCATTTGCGTGCGAAGTTTGTCGCACTTGTTCACTAACACCCTGTATAAACCCCATTGCGTTTGGAAAATTTTAATGTCGACGCCTGATTAGAAACCGTAAGAACTATACAATGTGTATTAAACTAGAGAAAGGTGAATTTTTTAATGTATTTAGCATGTAATTTCATTTTTGAAGAAATAGTCATAACTTTAATACCGTGCATCTCTATGGGGATCTCATACTGGATCAACTGAAGCAAACTGGTTAAATTTTAAGCCCAATCTAGCAATAAAAATACTTTCCATAAGAATTGAATAAAATTCAATTGTCCATGTTAGTAGTTAATTTTTAAATTTACGCGAAAGGTAGTAGATATGGGCGACATAGAATCTATCGATTTAAAATGTTTTTTTAAGGGACGGAAAGAACTAGAAGTCAATAGCTATATTATCGACTTCAGATTTGTTCTATTATTATGATTCATGTAAGTGTGGAGGAAATGATTCTCTGAAAAAGTAAAGTACATTTTTATTTATTATTTATTTATTATCCCTCTCACGTTCTGGGCGCTCAACAGGCTTGCGCCCAATTACAGAGTGACCCGCATAATACTTTTTAGAGGTGCCCCTGCAGAAGGTCTTAAGTTGTTCTATAGTACTCCGGTATTTATTTACCTTACGAATTAGAAAAACTGCAGGAAAACCTAATTCGGAGTAGTATTTGATATACTCCTCATCTAAAATAAAGACGATAGTCCAAAAATGATGTTGGGTGTCAAATAAATATTTGAATTAAGAATTTCAATTTTTTCAATAGTCTTGCAGCAATGTAATTCACGTTTCTTGTTGAAAAGGGTGAAGCTTGAAGCATGAGCAATTTAGGTAGTAATCCCAAAAGCCTATAACTGTGGTTATCATTAGGAGAATAATGTGCGAATGTTATAGTTTTAACCAAAATATTCAAATTTAGTAACAAAATGCCACTTTTCATTTGCGATCTGTGGGGTTGGGAATTTGTAGAAATGAAACTAAGCTAATTATTCGCAGTGACTCTACGAAAACAATCGCTTAAGAAACATTAAGTGTGACACTTGATAACATTTATCAAGAGTTGAGGAAGCCTGCTTTACTGTGATTTCCACGGTTAATTATGTTTAGGAAAACCGCACTTCCCGTTTGCATACAGGAATATTGTGGTCATCTATACCTACCCGAAATATTAGCACTGTGTATCTTACTCTAATTTGCAAAATAAACAGCGGGGCATACATACCTACGACCTTACTGCGGTTACTCACTAAATTTTTTTCTCCTTCATGTTTCAAGGCATAGTAACAAATTTTCGGGCGATGCCTCATAAATCTATTTTGTCTGTGAAAATATTCGAGAGATTTGGAATATTTCCAACAAAAAGTAGCACAGGATACGTACTCCAAATATTTTAATCATTCGGAAACGAGTGTATCATTACGAGATTTCGAAGCATCAGTAGATTACTTGGAGGTAATAAAACGAAGGTTCGCAATTTTGACATTTGATATTAATGACTTAGGGATACCTTGGTTTGACGAATGGCCCAGAGTTCAATGCCTGCCGTATTCAAATAGAGTATTGATACTTTTAGTTTTGGCAACTATAACAATACTACACGTTTCAGCGTGTTTATGAATTTGTTGCATATTTAACATTCCATTTTCCGTATTTTGCTGTAGGATTTACCCAGCGTCATTAGCCAACATGGCCTTGGGATATTCAAACTTTTCTGAATATTATCGATCCATATCTCTTACAATTAAATTTAAAGAATAAATTTGTTAAGAGAAAAGTGTTTGGAAACACACACGGAGTTAGTTCCACATGGTAATATCACAGATTTAAATATACTATAAATCTGTGGTAATATGCTGATGCACAATGAAAATCATGGAGCTTGCCTATGAACAAGAACCAGTTTTACGGTCAAAAACATCACCTATAATAATAGAGAATGGTTTTTTTTAAATTAGCTATTGTTTCGAAGAATTGGCAGTCTGGACACTAACTCTTGCATTTGCCATTGCATTTTAATGTTTATTGTTTCTGATCTTGACTATACGGAAGATCTAAAGCAGGTTCTTCACCGACTGTGTGCAGCTACTATGCTAACTCCAAAAAAGGGAAAACGCTCGGAATATAAGAGATGCGGACGCAGTGTGTTACAGCCCGACGTCTACTCCTGAGGGCGCATAGGGCAGACAAATCAGTGATTGCCAAAACTGAAACATAAAATGAAGGAGGAAATACTAAAAAACAAGAAGAGATGCTGAGAGGAACTGTGCGTTAACTGTGCCTTCACAGAGATGTTGAGGAAGCTTCAGTTCAGACAATTGCAGAGAGTTTTAAAGCATTTCAACTTTCAAGGGACTTTAGGAAGTTTTAGAGAGTTTGATGGGACATGGGACGCAAAGTCTCGTGCAGTTTCAATGAAGCCTTGAAGAGATTAAGAAGGTTGTGTGAAGTTTCAGAAAGCTTCAATGGGTTGCAGACATGAGCGACTCAGCGAATTTTTTCGGTTTGACGCCATCGTGCGGTCGCGTCTTACAAACCTTAGATAAGTCATATTAATATCTCATTTGGTCAAACAAAGACTAATCAGGAATAATTTCACAGCCATTGAAATTTGAAATCATTAACAAGTAACAAGAGTTCAGTCTAGATCATAACATTAATGGTATGTTGCCTCTGTTTGCTGACACAATTCCATAGAGTCACGGAGCTTGCTAAATTTAATTAATTTTTTTTTCATTGGTTCCACAATGAGAAAATCGAAAACTGATGATATGTACGAATTCGTAACTTATTTTTCTATATAAAAAACGCGGGATTGGGCGGGGATAATAGAAGAACCGGCCATTTCTGGAAACCTTAAGAAAATTCTCCCTATAAATATAATTATGAATTAATTACTTATAAAATACTCAGGTAAATCTAAGAATAGTTATAACTACGTGCACATTTAAAATTCCAAAAATGTTCTGTAATGTCCCCATGAAAAGTCGTAACATATCTTACCACCAAAAAAAACCTATGTAAAGACCAATTTGAAGACGTATGGTGAGTGAGAACAAGAGGAAGCGGACACATTTAGATTTTTTGGAACGTAATTACCAAGCAAGCTTTTCCTTTTGAGGCCATACACGTTTAATTAAAACATGAAAACCTTAAAACTATTCATATAATTCGTGACTATGAATAAAAACCAGAACCCCATAATTTTGTTATATCATTTCGAGATATTTTGACTTGTCATTTATATATGATTCGACCAATTTGAATAAATATAATGGTTAATATTACATAAATGCGTCTCATCACGCGAGAAAAGGCAAAGTTGTAGTTTTGGCGCACGAATCTCGAAAACCTTGCAAATTTCTTTGCATTTAGTACTCTTCAACACTGAGGGGACACATAGAAAAAGATCTGCTTATTTAAATATACATCTATTTCGACATCCACTTCCCGAGGTGTATGTGTTTCTACCATGACTACACCACATTGGGTATCCAAAGACCTCATCCAAACTGCTTTAAGAAGTTATTTTGGAAATCAAGAACTTGCAGTAATGGGATACTCGAGTTCGGCAGCAGTACCTGTAGGTGATAACTACACTAGTGACATATTTCGAACAGTTGTTACGTTTCAAACTGATACAAGGTGAGAATTCCATCGGATGCTACGGCGAGCATATTTAACAGAGCTTTAGTGGAAATCGAGGCACAATTTCGATGATAATGAAATGTTCCCCAGTCGAAAAAAAGGAGATGTTGGAATTAACAAGGCAGGAACAATATTTTGCGAAGGAAATTGAAGTGTACAAAACTACTCTTCCAGCTATTTATGATACGTTAGGTGAGTGCGATGGTGAAATTGAGGTCTTATGGCCGTTTGCACCGAAAAATTTTAGCTGAGCTGAAGTGTAACTTAAAATTCATGACAACAATAGTTTCCATGGACTTTAAGTTATTGCAAAGCCAAGCTTAGTTTAAATTTGTTGGTGCAAATGTCCATAACAATTGTCGCTGTTCGATATACATACTTTTTGTTTTCTTATTAGGATTCGACATTAGAAAATAAAATGCACACTTTTGTTTGCTTTCCACTCATTAGTGTAACATACAAAGCGTGTGTCAAACAATATTCGAAATGATGTTAACAGTATCCATCGCTGTTTGTAGGTATTGATCATTGCATACTATAAGTACCATCTGATCTTCCAATTAACGGAATGAAACGTTTCAGCACCGCCAGTTCATCGCCAGTTACAGGAAATTGGTTTTTTGAAACAATATAAAAAGTTTACTGTGGCTAGAACAGATATTACGCGCACAGCTGCGCATGCGCGATTCTGCCCAAAAGCTTTTCAGCTCTTCTTTTAATGTCTATGAATATGGGTACCAAATTTGGTTCCAATCGGTTCAGTCGTTTAGGCGGAAATGAGGGTACAGGTGAACCGACAGACCGACATCATCGAGATTTTGTTTGATTCGGATTCCTGGTGCTTCAAAGATATATTTTCGTGGGGGATCATTTTTTACCCCAATGCAATATCTCCCTCATTAACCTGAGGGTGGTAAAAAGAAATCCAGAAAAGTAATCTGTTATTACTAAGCAAAATGCATCCCATCTTTTTGCAAATTCGTATTTGGTAACTTTTTTTTATATGCCAAACCAGATCACCGTATGGTTTTACAGTCATTGCATAATTAAACACCCAAATTAAAAAAGCAATGCTTTATCTTTAAAACTAGGTGACTACTAGAGCGTTCTCAAATTTTGTTTACACATACTGGAACGTTAAAACTAACTTTTCCAACAATTTTCCCGAGGATTCTTACCAATTGACGGACTGTGAAATCTTAGTTAAGTAACAAATGGAATAATTTCCGAAACATAACAAGAAAGGTAACTCTATAATAGGCCCTTGGCACTCGGAGTAATAAAAATCATTCATTTTGGTCAAATAAAAAATAAAAGAAGTTCACTCTTTAAAGAATCGTTGATGAAGTGAAAATCATTTTTGATAATCTGAGAAATTTCTTAAGTAGAAAAATTATCGGATTTTGAAAAAAAATTGCAAAGCCCGTCGATTTGCAAAAATCATCAGAACATTTGTTGAAAAAATTGTTTTAGAGTTCCACTATGTGTACAAAAATTCAGGACGGAGTCACCCAGTTTGAGAGACAAGGCATAGATTTTTTAATTTGTGTATTTAATTATTACGCAATGACTATAAAACCTATGATGATCTGATTTGGCATATTGTTTTGTTATCAAAAGGAGTTACCAAATACGGGTTTTCAAAAAATCGGATGACTTACCTAGTAATAACAAGTTGTTAATTTTCGAGATTATTTTTTTAAATTTTTCCATAAAAAATAATAACATTTAAAAAAACGAAATCTTGTAGAAAATTATTTTTTCCACTCAGACCGATAGTTAACGAGATATTCGAAGTCAATTTGGCAAAACTCACCTTATATAGATTGCTCTTTAAAGCACATTAAATCGCAGTAGATATTACTATTTAATAATAATAATAATAATAATAATAATAATAATAATATTTATAATATAATATAATAATATTTATTTTATTTTTTATTTTTCTTTAGAACCCTACATAACTTCACCAGACACAGACACAGACACTAATCGTTACTTGATTTTAATCCGTGCGATTAGTTAACCAGGCTAGACCTGAGTTCTCACAAGAAACACCGACAATAATAATAAGTCTGGAGCTATCGCTGGGCGTTGCAGCATGCGAGCCGATAGTGACGAGTTGGTGAACAGGCGGCCGCTCGTCGGGATACCCGAAACCTCTACAGCCGAAAGAAGACTACGAAGAGGACAACGACCACGTGAAGAGGACCGCCATGAAGAGACCTTTGTGCCTGCTTCTCAACCGCTTGTGGATGGGACCAGCGCAAAGGAAACCTCCAAAAGACGTATGAAATGGGACGAAGGGATGAATCGCTTCATTTTTGAAACAAACCACTCGTATTCAACCGAAGCGCAAAAATCTAAACAGCACTACTAGCTCACAAAATACTGGAATATCCCCACCAAAAACCCAAGCAACCTCACAAATACAACCTCAAGAACAAAGAAACACCATAAATACAAGTAACGCAACATGCACCACAAAGACAGGTCCACCAAATAAAGTTACACGTCCTAGCACAGTTAAAAAACACAAAACTCCTTCTTCACAGAAACACACCACGTTATCACAACCCACTCGTATTCAACCCAAACGCAAAGCCAAAGAAACACTTACACAATAAACTCAATTTAATAAAATTACAGGAATTATTATAATTATTTTTTTTGTTTTGTTTTGTCCTGATAGCGTTAGCTATTGTGCCCATCAATAGCTAGACCTGAGTTCTCACAAGATACACCGACCATAATAATAATAATAATAATATACGTGTAAAATTTCAAAATGGCATTCTAGGAATTTATAATACAAGACTAGGCTAAGCTGTAGCTTTCCCGTTTGATTTCCCGACATTAAAACGACCTCGGCGATAAAACGGCTCGGCGAAGAAACGCTCGCGATGAAACGGCAGCGCAGAACCGTCCTACGTTCAATGAGAGTCGTAGAAAAAACAGCTTTCATAATTTCGGTTGTGTGAAATGTGTCACTTTCAGATCGTGTTATACCATTGAACTTTTATTTTTTCTATTTTTGACACTTTTTTCATTACAGGAGAATATTTCACTTTGTCAGCGAAATTTATTTATTACACCGAGAAGCCGCATACACTACTTATGTTTGAGGATTTAGGGAAATTGGGTTTTCAAATGCATAATCGGCAAACAGGGTTTGATCTAAATCATTGTCTTCTGGTAGCCGAAAAAATAGCATGTTTACACGCCGCGTCTCTTGTACTGCATGAGAAGGTATAAAGGATCCATCGACAGCTGAGTAACCTACATATTGCAGCATCCTGGTTTGTACAAAGCTTTTGACAGGGGCATATTTTCAAAAAACGAAATGATAACAGTTTGGATAACTCGCGCGTTCGAATCATTAATTAAAGCATGTTCCACCTGGCCAGGTTCGTATACGACATTGCAATGCCCTTAAAAAGAATATTGGGCTTGCAGGCTATGAAAAGTACAGCAAGAAACTACAAGCGATACTTGACAGAGTTGTTGACAGAGCGATCTGGTGCTCATCTCCAAAATTGGGTAGCTTTAAAGTGCTAAATCACGGTGATGCGTGGGTTAATAACTTCCTATTTTCATACGACAGTGAAGGAAAACTGAAGGACTGCAAATTTGTTGGTCGTCGCACACTTTTTGCTAAAGTAAATTTGGTAATTTTAGGTAGATTATCAATTGGTGATATTTTCAAGTCCGGCAATAGATTTGCACTACTTTTGGACAACTAGTCCAAAAATGGAGGTAAGGCGGGAACATTTGGACACGATACTTGACCGATATTATTCAAAACTTCTGTATACCTTAGCATCACTGAATTACTCCTTAGAGAGGATACCAACCAAGAAACAATTTCTGAAAGATTGGAAGTCTAGATCATTTTATGGTACGTTTCCAATTATTGCATAGTTAATTAAATTACTAAATGTTTACTAGGTCTGCTGGCTGCCGCTGCAATTTTACCATTGGTAAAAGCGAGCAGTAGAAATGATGCATCTTTTGAAGATTTAATGGCGGATGATTCTGAAGACAGTTTCCGTTATCACGCGTATAATAATGAGAGATACAGGAAGCATATGGAATATTTGTTACCATTTTTCGACGACTTGGGAGCTTTAGATTATTTTTAGTTTATTTTAAAACAGCAGTGTTAATGACAAAATAGTTTTCCATTTTTTATGAGCTTCGATTAACTGAAACACGCTTGTAAAACCTAGAATGATTTACAATTGTAGAAACAAAAAATCCAAATTTAAAATTAAAATTCGTTCGTTATGTGAGACCTCATTTTAATATTTTCGTGCCAATCTTAGATTTACAGCACTGAAGTGCACCTAAATTTATCATAAATAGTGAACACTAATGACGAATGCAGGTGGAGATCGGCACCAGGAAGATGACATTCTCTAATAGATTGCCATGGAAACAATTGAAATTCACTGCTTTGACATTTTTTTGCCACTTTACTTAGCATTATCATCATCGATTTGCGGACACGATTTTGCACCCTGATTTATTTTCTATTGCTCCAGGATCCTTCTTGTGCCTTTCTTGTGTCCCCGCATTCTCCTGATGTGAGCAATGGTGGTGTTATCTCTGCCGTCGAAGAATTTCTCCTCCAGTGAGCGTGACGGACCACGGTGCCTTGGGTATGGCACGAAGGGTCCTGGATTACATACCTTCAATCCGTCGAACGTTGGTTGGCGATAGGTATATCATCCATCCCGCAGATGCGTAAGTTACTATAGGTCTTATCACTTATGCAGGCCTTTAATATCCCGACCTTTGTTTTCATTTATAGAGCACTTGCTACCAGCAGAGGATATAATACTCCTTCAGCTCTTCTGGCCTCAGTTTACGTTGCGTCTATGTGTTTCGTTAAGGTAAGCCGCCTGTCGCCGTTTTTCTCACGGCTAGATGGTTTTGATTTTATTTCCAAGGTAATTTAGTTCCGAAGCCGGTGTGTCATAAATACTGACAGATTGTGTATTAGTTGATCAAACGAAAGATAATATTTGCGCATCATTTTCTCTATCCGTCTGTCTGTCGTACCTTTGCTGAATTTTGAACCATACAGGTGCCTCTAATAAAGTGCTCTTGTTATGTCAATGTAAAAGTTCTTTTTTCGTGTTTCTCAACAACAACTTTTTGTGGGATATGTATTCATGCCAATTAAAAAGTGTGCTCGCACTAGTTTCATTGTGTCTTTTTATCGTGAGAATCTGAACTGAAAAGAATATAGAAGGATATGTTAAACAATTTATTCAAACAGAACCACTTAATTGCTAATAATAAGTTATATAATACAGCAGGGGTAAAAAATCGTAGAAAAAAATCACAAATATTAATACAATACAGTAGGATGCATCATTGACAATGTCGACGTTATTCGGGATAACTTCGTCTAAATCGGTATGGAATTGGAGGAGCCGCATTATCATCCATATTTTCTTCTTCACCTGTGTTAGCTAATGGTTCGGCGTCCTTTTCCTGGTTAACAATGTAAAAATTGTAACCTTTTCCATCATCGGTGTCGTCACCATCGTCACTGTTTACATCTTCGACTATAACCTGTCTTGGGGGAGGAATTTCGTCGTTAATGTAGGGCACCTCTGCGTTACCATCCGCCTCTCTGCTTCGACGATCTGAGTTTCCATCTTCCGAATTTTCATTTAAATAGACCGCTGACTAAGAGAAGAAGTTAGCACAATTAAAATAAGATTTATATCGAATTTACCCCGCAAACGCCCACTTCGCAGGAATATTGGGTGCCATCCTCGCTACACTGACAATCGTCACAATCAATTTTGAAGTTTGAAAATGGGGCACATATTGTCGCTTCTGAAAATAATCACGAAGTGAGGTCACTTTTCAATTTGTGAAAGCTGTTGATAGGATCTCCAACATCTTTCTCAGAGAAAAATCAAAATTTTGAAAATGCTAAGCGTTTAAGAAAAACACGCTTACCCGTTTGCACTGTATAAAATAACAATGTTAATGCCAATAAGATAAATGCAAAAAAATTCATCTTGTTGGCTTCAATAGTTTTATTGCACTAACAAATAGTTACTTCGCCTCACTTTTTATAGAAGGATAAATAGTAAAGGAAGTTCTATACATAACGCAGTATATCCTCTATCACTTATCACATTTGAAACTAAATAAATGTACGGATTTGGTAAGTTTGTGAGGTCTGACTTCGTCCGGTTTGAACTCAGATATGGGAAACGTAAGGAAGCACCGGTATAACCTGCGAGACGATTTGGAATATTTTTAGATGTATTCTAATATTAGAACACATTTTCATTATAACGCTACGCAGGAATGCCGAAGGAAATTGTTGGGAATGAGATTTTACGATTACTCATTAATGTAACGATGGCGACACTATTTTCTGAGAGTAAACTTTTCGAGGTATTGGAATACCTTTCTTTATTGACTCAAATGAAGAGGAGATGTAGGGCCACTGTCACACTTTTCTTGCTGATGACCGAGACGAGAGGGACAATTTCAACCCTGATGTCTAAATTAGTGGTAACCAAAGATGCATTGGCGATAACAACGTGAGAATTGAATGAATACTTCCCACTATGCCTTTTTATACAGTCTTGATTATTATTTATTCTCAAGAAATTGCCTGACTCTATTTACATGTTACAAACTTGGAAGCATCGACTTTGTCGACGATAGCGTAGTTAATCCAGAAACCTTTGCGCAAAAATAATAATCATTCAGCTAATCTGCGCAAACATTTTGAAAAGATTGAAATCGAATCCTTTCATGCAAAGCGAAGGGAGGGGTAATCGTACCAAGAGTATACCTACACATTTGTTCGCTCGGCTGCTACTAAAAAATAACAATGTATTTGTTATACAAACGAAGCGAACAACACTTAGGAGGTAGGTAGGTACTTTCAACTCATTCAAAAATGGTTTTACGAACGACTACTATACGTACTAGTAGGCGAAATGACTAATTTTTACGCTAACCTACATTGATAAAACGTATCGTTGTCAAAGGTGGTGATAGAAAAATGCACCACCATGTAAAAATTTAAAAAAAAAGTATTGTAATAAGGAAAACCTTTTCCCATCTAATGATATTGCCAAAATGGTGACCTATGATGTCTTCTGATAATATTAATCACGTACATGGAATCAGAATCAATACAATACCGATCTAAAAAAAGCATTGGATCGCTATGAGAAATCCCCGAAGTTATTTATCGTTCCCGGAAGTTTTCGTTAAGTTGAAAGATGAGATTATTAACTTAACTATTTTTAAAACAACACATAACTAATCGCAATACCATATATTCATATAGCAATATAGTCGAATTACATAATCTTCAAGAGGTTAAATGTTACATTTTTTTGGTATAGTGGATATTGAAGCATTAATTTGGCCAAAATGTATTCTTCAATTTTCTTCTTGAAAACAAATAGTAAAATAACACCTAACCGCTGTTGTTATGGGTATATGTCGGTTCCAATTTAGTCATCACACTCATCACTCCTCCAAAATTCTATAATCCTAAACATAATTACCCAAAAACTTAGCTAACGTCAGTTCTTTCATTCTTTTAGGTCCTCTGGTACTGAGAAATTTGGTTAAAATGTCTTCAACCGCTCTTTTGTTGACTTGAATATTATACAGATAGGTACCTACTACTTGCCTTCTACTAAGATGAAAATGAGTTTAAACATATTAAGACATTAAGCACGTATAGAACGGTACGCAGATGTAGACATGTACAAATGCTTCAATAATTAAAAAATACAAGAAAATACACCTTTCGCATTTCCTGTACCTTTTTAGAACTTCTATGTACTTTCCAGTGCTAGGAAAGTAAGAAATCCTAAAAAGCTCCTAGATAGGGATTGTAATAGAGCGCAATAATTATTTATGTATTAAGGGCATAATAGTCATGTTTATATTCTCGAGGGGGATGAGTTAAAAAGCTCGAGGGCCTATGGCCCGAGAGCTTTTTAGTCGCCCGAGAGTAAAAACATCAGTTTATGCCCTTGGTACATACACAATTTTATGTTTTACAAATAGTTTTCTTCGTCAAAATTCGTTTACAAAATAATTCATTATGTTTGATCGAGTATGCGTGGTTAATTGAAACCATCCAAACGTCAAACGTAATTTTAAATAATTGAATTCATCGTAAATGAGAAAGAAGTTCCAGAAACTATTCGAAATAAGGCCAATTTTGTGATTTAGTAGGTATTGACATTTAATAATTGACGTTGTTAATTTTCAATGACCTGCAAATATTTGTTTGTTTTGTCATTAAGTATAAATGAGTTACTATGGTGATACTTTATGCCCGCGTATCACAGACATAAAATGTGTTATGATAGGTTAGTATGACATAAAATGATATAATTATATTGTCGATTGAAAGAGAAAGTTGTCGCGCGACAATCTCTTGAAATCGACAATTAATTTGCGCTCGAATTACACACAAGATTTTTTTCTACAATCGAGCAGTTCACATATTTCCAAAATTTTAAATTCTTCACTCAAATCATAGATTATTTTAATCTTATGCCCAAATGAAAGATGTCATTTACTCCTTGTCATTGGATACTCTGAGCAATGCATATTTGTATAGTTAATAATTGAGAGAGCGAGCGTTTTTTTTATATTGACGCTTATAAGAGACAAAGTGACATTCCTCGAAAAAGATGACGTTTGCGTTGTCAAATAGGTACGAGCGCAAATGCCTACCTTGGATATCAATTGTAGAAAAAGATTTGTAAATGGTCTGGAACAATGCGGGAAAGGTTTAGAAAACCTTTGAAAATGATCCAAAATGCTCCCAGAGAAAGACAAAATACTCTGTAATAGTGCTGTAGAGGACACAACAGACGCTTACGAAAGATGTAAAGGACCTCTAGAATGCTTTGGAAAAGTGCTAGTAAGCTCCTAAGATTTGACTTCTGCGATAAGAATTTTCATAATCCAAGAAAGAGCAATTCGGATTATGTCCAATCTAAGTTTTCGAGAATGATATAAACAAATATTCATTAAAGAAACCCTTCTTGCTCTTCCGTGCGTATACATGCTGGAAGCATCAGAATTTGTAAAATGAACATTAGCGACTCTAATGCCCTAAATGCCATCCGCTTGTTTTAATTGCTGCAAATTTGTTTTTATATCTGATTCTGTATTACGATAAGAGGATGGGTTAGCTCCACACGTACTTGGGCCACACATTCGGGTCCTTTTTACTACCTCCCTGACTAGAGACGTCCGATCCCGCAAAGTCACTCAAACCATCCCACTCGTGAGATGACCTAAGGATGCTGGAAGAGGAAGCGGTCCTATTCGTAGCCATGTCTAATGTCCATGCCTCCAATAGGGCCCTTCTCAGTTGGACTAGCGCGGGACGCATATGCGAGCGGGACATTTCCAAAGTATGTGATGTGTGTCTAAACTCGGAATTTTACAGTCTTGTAATGACGTCATTTTTGTCTATCCTTGTTTAACTAATGTAAAATGACAATGATAGAATGGTAAGGGGAAAAAAATATCGGCTATCCAGAAAAGGCAATGAAGGATCAAATATGGAGCATTGTCAGCGCAAACTGCCCCAAAGAGAAAAAGTACTACCTTGATGAATATGTTAAGCCTTTAGGACATAAAATTTTACGGTTACCGCCATACCACTGCCAATTTAATGCGATTGAAATGGTGTGGTCCCAGTGTAAACGAAAATACGATCAGTACATTGCAAATTTTAAGGGATCACCACAAGAGGTTTTGGCAACATGGGAAAGGGTTATCGGGGAGATTTCTAGGGATAATTGGGAGAAATACGTAAACCATACGGACAAAGTAATACAAGAGGCTTGGGGAGCAGTACAAGTTTGTGATGCTTCTGACATCCCACCTCTTGTTATCACTACAGACGCAGATGACGACCTTACTGACGACGAATACTTTGATTTTGACTCTGACGATACGGACGAGGGCGACTAATTTTCTTCTAATACTGTGACCATTACAACGCAATAAATTGGCATTGGTATATTTTTGTTTTACGATTTTGATTTTCCAACTATTCATGAAGGTAGTGCAATTTTTTCTTGTGTAGATGTGGTTTGGATAGTGGGTCTTTGAATTTTTATGTACTCATCTGCTAATTACTTTTTGGGTCTTTTCGGGAGTATTGATTCCTAAATAATATTCTGTGATTTTCGTTTTGTTAATCTTTATTTATTTAAAAACAAAAATATGTTAATATTACTTATATGTTAGTTGAGCAAGTTATTAAAATCATTAGTGAGTAAATGACCTTTTTTGAAATACTAACATTTTATCGATCGCGGTTTCGCTCGCAAAAAATATGAACTATTCGCATTTTTTAACATGTTAAAAATTTATCTTCGATATCTTCAGTCGTTTAGGCTGTGCGTTGATATCTCAGTCAGTCAGTCAGTTAATTAGGACTTCTTCTTTTATTAAGACCTATAGATTTCTTGTGGAAATTGACCTAATTATTATCAAAAAATGCTAAAATATTATGTACACCACTGTATAGTAAAAGTCATACAGGTAATTAGACACCAGTAGTCAGTTACTTAGCAACAAATAAATTTAATTGGACATACGTTTTTTCCCACGAAAATGACGTCATTACACGACTGTAAAATTCCGAGTATATGTAACATCCTCTGCAAAGTAGTGAATCTATCAAACACATGTGCTTGTCGGTACTGTCAACAGTTTTTAAATTACGCGCACTTACATTGTTGTCCATATGAAATGAGTAATGAACAAGATGAAAATGAGCATAAAATTATAGCGTATTATAAAGTTTAACTTCTTATACTATGTAAATTTTTGTTACGACTGAAAGCACACTTCTTTCCTTCCAGATTGTTTAACGATATAAATCTTTACTGAGCACGTTGAGATGTTTCTGATTTCTACAATATAAGATCAAGCATATCAAAGAAAATCATAGCAAAAGGGATTTTTCATAAATGACATGCGGCAATGGAAAATTGACTTTTTCCAAGCAGCATTGTTATGATGATGAAAGTTACTATACATAGTTTCGTCTTGTTTCCTGTCATCAAGTGCTATTGAACAAAGACTTAGCCAATCTACTTTTCTACAATCAAAAAAATCTAACGTCGTTCTTTTTATTGCCCATTTATAAAATTACAAAAGTTACTCTCACTCAATTATCGTTTGTGGTGTTTCTAAAATATACAAGGTTGTGTGACGATTTCTATAAATATGCCAATTGTTATTAGGTAGACGGAGGTCTAGGAGACGCCGCTTATAAATAGAAGATATAAATTTTACGCTCTGGCAAACATTGTAGATATACCTACACTTGTTTGTAGTTGATTCATTTATGTAAATTTTTGAATTATTTTATTAACAACTGAACAAATCATAAAGCTTATAGCTCAATTGGTTAACGTCAAAAAAATTAAACATCAATTTTCCAAATATTTAAAGAGTAGTTAACTGTGAAAACACGTTTTTAGCGAATTAAAACCAATCGCATTATCATGATTTCTCGTTTGTCCGTCGGTCCGATAATCTCCTCGGTATTATAATGGCACTGTATGATAGTTTGGAACAATAATTTATGAAACTACAATCATAAATATTGCATGCCTGAACATGAGGCACTAGTGCAGTTTTCGTACCTAGCACATAACTGTGCCTTTTTTTGCGTTGAATAAAAAAACATATTTTGATTTTTTATGGGTTCGAAATACTAGAACCTTTTCTCCTAAAGGAATGGACTATAATATTATCTTGAGCTTTATTGAAATACTTAGAACAAGTCTATGCACATGAACAAAATCCTCATTTAATTAAAAAAAAAATAAAAATGTCATCGTTCATATATCTTCACTCTTCCATTCTTGAAATTGGGGATACTCTGATTCCTCTACAAAAAATGCATATTTCGCAATGATATATTTTATTGGTTGGATTACCTTTTCATCTTGCCGCATGAATCCTATCACAGACCTTCTGATCGCATCATCCTCGGCTTCTATTTCAACAACAGAATTGTCAGATTAATACGCTATCGTCAATAATAATTATTTTTGATTTTGTATAGGTAGATACCTGTATTGGTGAATACGAAACCGAGTAAAATCACAAAGAAAATCACAAACTTCATCTTTGATTACGGGATTAAACTTCAAACGTCTGCAATTAGCATGCAAATGCAGACAGGAAATATTTTTTTCTTTTCGCAGCTATCTTATACAACGAAAACCACCTAATCAAATGTGAATGATATGGAACTTTATCAGGAAGCTGCCCACTTCCTTTTTATTTAAGACCCAAAATCCTAAGTAACGAATTAAAAAAATACCCAACAGACTGCAGCATATGATATATTAGTGTATCTATCACTCTTTACGCAATGAACAGTTGGTAATTTTTCCATGGGAAATTTATTAAAACCAGATCTTCTTCTTTTGAGGTTCTAATGATTATCTATTACTATTAACGAACCGATCGTGGGGGATCCCAACCAAGTTTATTCACAATCTGACTTAACGAGGTAGTATAACAAATTCCACCAGTGTCAAAAATAAAAATAGCCGATTAAATTTTGACGTTATCGTCAAGTGTTTTGCTTGGACGTACATATTCCTATGAAGATGGAGCCGCCCTCCCCACTATCCTATAATAATCCACATTTATATTTACATTTATTTTTATAATATCCCATTTATGGCTGTCATTTTTCAAAATAAATAACGTTATATATTAGAAGTAGGTACGTCGAGTGAATTTGCCACGTAACAAAATCCCGAATACTTCTGCTTATAGCAAAACAATTTGAAGAAAAACGACAAAATTTAATCAGGCTATTTTTTAGCACGCGGGGTATTCGGCATGATTATTTCCTGAATAAAAATATTCACAGCGGTTACAACATTTGCGAAAGAATTTGCGCCAAAAGTGGACACTGCACAAGAGATAAGTGCATTCAAAATTAGCGCATTAGGTAGACTTGTTCGCAGTGACAGTTTGGTATCTATGCAACAGCAAGTTTGTGGTCGTCTGTATCTCTGATATTTGAAAGAAATATAATCAGAAGCGACAAAATTTTGATACATTTTTAACCGCGGTAAAATTTTGACGTTTGCAAATTAATCGTTGAAATATGGACAGTAACCATAGCAATTCTAATGCTTTTACTACATGAAAGAAATAATCACTTCCAAACTTCAAAACAGTTGGCATTTGCCATATTACATGTATATGATTGTGAATGAAATACATTTACTATGATAATGGTGTAATGGGCCTTCTACTTTTCTTTTGTCATGAGTGTCTAATTGTATAGGTACCTTCCAACTATTTGTACCATAAGTTTTCTCTATATAATGCTTTTTAGTATACGATTCATGACTCATGAGATGGTACGTGATATAGATATGAAGCACATCACTAACGCCAAAAACTAATGAATGTTTGTTTAGCCATCTTAATTCTTGTTGAGCCACTTAGCAGACTGAAGCTACCTGTAGACAGGCCGTAATTTTTATTCGACTGTTATCTCCGTACGGGTTGTTTTGCATCGATACCCAGTGCGTAATTGCACGGAGAAAAATGGATTGTTAAAATCATATAGTAAAAATTATATTGTAATCAGTACGAGAAGCTATTATTAAATCAAACAAACCTTAACAGACGCTGTACAATATGAATATGTCTAATCAAAATTATTCTCACTATAATAATATTGTATTAAATATGATCTTAGATATTTAAATACCTTTGCAAAGGTTGCATTAAATGATTAAAAGCTCTGTATTGTATATTGTATGCGGTTTTTGTTCAGTCGACAGTCAGTTCAGTGCGTTATGCGTATGTGTATGTGGCTCGCAATTTTGGTGAGGTTTATAGGTGAATTCTATACCACTTATAATCATGAGTGATTTTGAGGGTTGGGCCAATACAATATGGCAGTATAAGTACAACAAAACTGAATTATATTGATTATTATAGCTTATTGTTGCAAATATATCATGATTTTTGAACTTTTTAATTTTATATACATATTCGAAACCAATAGGTATGTGTGTATCCTGATTTTTGGTAAAAAAGGAAGCCCAGAAAAAAAATTGTCTCAGATCGACCCGGGAAAAAAATTTTCTTATAGAATGTGGCCTGTAGAATTCATAATTTCAAACAGTTCCAAGATTGGGCTACTAGTTCAAAAGTTACAGCCCTTTGAATTTTCTTTCGAAATTGGTTTCTAGTCTGTAACTTTTGATTGAGAAGTCTGATCGAAAAAGTATGAATTGTTTTGGATTCTACGCACCAAAATTAATAAGAAAAAGTGTTTTCCCGAGAAATTTTGGTGCAGTCGATTTTTGGATTAACTTTATTATACTGATGAGAAACATAATGGGAAAAACGCAAAAAATTCGTTAAGCCGCTTGCGAGCAAGAGGCGAAGAGTGCACTTTCAAATTTGATTTTTCGATTTTAATAGCCCTTATGGACATTTCATGCCTTAACGAGAATACAAACATGAAATAGTTTTTAATTTCTGATCGAATTACACCAATACCAAGTCTGTAAGTGGTGTAGTTCCGGCGCCTTTGTGACTCAGACAGATAGACAGACAGACAGACATATAAGGAGCGTAAAAGTGCACTTTTGCAAAGGTGGAAATATTCCTACTCGTACTGTGAAGTAAGTCCAAACAGTCTTGGACAAAGATACGACACCAGAAGTATGTGTAAATACAGCTTTCAGTATTTTGGTAGTCAAGTAAGACCGGGGGGTAGTAGTAGTAATGTCGGTCTAAGGCCAGTAGCGGACTAGGCAACCTGGCTGCGGTAAGCAATCCTACACTTGAATCAGCGCGAATAAGCAATCGTGTGTGGAATTAGCTGTTGCGACTGGCTACGGCATCGAAGCTGCCTAGTGCGTTATTGGCCTAAAGGTAAGCGTTCACTGAAACGAAGTGGAAAATGTTGTTAAATGATATATAAAGAGGCGTTCACTTGAACGTAACGCGCACTTACATTAAGGTAATAGTTATTTACATATGAGTATGGTAAATCAAGGTTTACGTTAACGAGTGAGATGTTTACTGCCGAAGCGTAGCTGAGGCAGGAATTTCGAAACGAGTAACGTTAACTGATTTAACAAACAAATAAAGTAAAACATTTTATTTCATACTGCTCTTTTTCTTATTAAAATGCCATACAATTTTTGATTAGAATGTTGTACGCATTCAAATAAAAGCAAAAGTCGATCACTTGATTTGATTGATCTGACAGTAATTTGACACATTAATATACAGGTTTATATGGACGTCAGTTGATGTTGATAGGCAACATTTCCAGTCTGGTAAAAATTTTCAGTCTGGTAAAATACGATTTACCAGACTCAAATAGGTCTGGGAAAGCGGCGATTACTAGATCGTATGAAATAAAGTGTATTTACTGCGCGTCCGTTACATCCGCTCCGCATCAGTGAACGCGTACCTTAAGGTTTCCAAACTGCGTGATTTGCCTCTGACAGACAACATAATGCGGTTATATGCTCAGTGATACCATCAGAAACGTTAGACCTTCGTTCCCTATTAATGTGGCATTCGTTTTCCGTCGGCCATCATCTTTAAAGCTTTCCAGAGCTGAAGCCGAGGCTGAAGCTATCTTCGTTATCGCATTATCCAAAAAGTAGAAAGTTTTGTCATATAACATCAGTTTTGGCTGAGATAAATTTCGTATTCGAAATGTAGGTACAATTCCACACTTGTCTTATCATTTAACTCCCGTATAAGAACAAATACAGTGTTAGTGTTTTATATAGAGCAAAGAATGCGTTTTTAGAAAATTGGTTTCCTATGTTAATTTTTAAAACCCAAAAATTAAGAATAGTCACATTGAAAAACCGAAAAACGTGCAAACTTGACAACTTCATCGGGGGGTCCTAAATGCGATTTTAAAAATAGACCTTTAAGTTAAATATGCCTAAAATATTTTAATCGAAATGAACTGATTAAACTCCATTTTTCATTATGCCGACCAAGGTGAAAAATTGTTGTAAATCTGCATGTTTTTTTATGCGTTAATGTCGTTAAATAGCATCTCTTGTAACTTTACGCAATTTGAATTAGAAACTTCCAATTATTTGCACATTTAGGTCACTACAAACCATATCTAAACAACCAGCTTGTCAAATGCGCAACCCACATACCGTATAAAATATCAGTGCGACACCACACCGATGTAGATAAAAACCGTGTAAAACTCACGAGCTTTCATTCAGCTTCAGTGCGCTTTTGAGTTACTACGATGACTAAACTAAGCCTAATGGTGTTGTCTTTGACAATAGTGTTGTTTTTAGCAACTATGTCAGGTACGGCTCGAAGGTATTAAGACCGCAAAACTGATAGGTGATGTCTTTGTGTTGTAGGGGTATGGTGTGATCATCGCGTCAGTGGACCAGGACAGTCCAAGGTAGGATGATCCAATTCAAATAATTCTTACTGTTTATTCCTATTTGAATTAGGGCACCTTTGAAGACCACTCCAACTTCCTAGAGGACGGCTACGAGAGGCGCAAACGATCAATACAACCCCAAAAGAAGAAAAATTCTTTTCACTGATTATCAATTTTAATGGTATACTAATAAATATGTTCGCAATTTTATAGTCGTTTTTGAATCACGTATACCTACGGGATGATTACTTTCAGCAAACAAGCATTTATGGATTATACAATTATTGATGACCTTAAAAATGCAATTCGATCAGCAAACTAGCATCTTCAGCATTTGAAAAAAAGTAAAGTGATAGTAGTTCGATACATCCCGACTTAGTAAATAAAAGTCAGGATCATTACGGAGGAGGAAATATTGAAGTACGAGGTCCCCAGTGCTTTAATTTCCGAGTCAATTAGTCTATTAGATTTTTCCAGAAATCGTTCAAGACATAAAATTTCTAATCATGTAAGACTTTTTGTTAATATTAATGTGTCAGTTTTGACAGGAGTCTGGTAAAGTAACAGGCGACAGAAAAAGTAGACAGGTAAAGTGTTACTACCACTGTGATGGAAACTTAATTTCCTGACATAAAATAGGAATGAAATTTAAGGTAACCGTCATTTTCATGCCTACTTTATTTCAGGATATTTTAAATTTTAGTTTCCATGATAAAGGGAGTAAAACTTTACCTTATACTATTTTTCCTGTCGCCTGTTGCTTTGCTGGCGGCACCTGCCACATTGGTAATGTCTGTAATGACTCCTATCATCACTGGCAGATTGGCATTAATCAAAAGTGCTAAGTATATGAAAATTGACATTTTATATTAAAATACGATTTCGAGTGCAACTTAATACAAAACTCGGCAGTTAAAGTACTTCGTACTTCAATATTTCCCCGCCGGGAATGTCTCATTTTCCTGACTTTTATGTAAATAACTATTACAATGATTTGCGAAAATCTGTCCTATTGTAAAACGGTTGAAACAAATAAGCCCAAAGACCACAACTTGCTAGGATATTTCCTTTGGGCTCATTTGTTTCAGCCATTTTACAATAATAGGACAGATTTTCTCGAATACACCATTTTCTGACTCTCCGATAAACTTAAATCTTGGTTAGCAATGTTGAACTATGCAATATATATTTTTTGGTTCAATACCTTTTGGTCAATTTTTACGAATTAGTATTTCCTGTATATACAGCGTTTACTCCAACATACTTTCGAATATGTAGACCTCTTCAAAGGCTTATCAACCGACACATTTGAGAACATTTAAATTACGGAAGTGGTTAAGTGTCATATCCATTCGCAAATGATAGCAGGCAGTTGATGTAAATTTTAGTTGAATTTTATCGAAATAAATCACAAAGGGACGCTTTTTCTGTTTCAGTAAAACTTATCTGATAGATTCAACTAGAGCATGAAAATGGGTCCTAGGTGTACGAGTACTACTTATAAATCCGCAAACAGAACGACAATTAAATGAGCAAAAATAGTGACATAAACATTTCCAATTTGCATTAGTAAACTGTTAAGAACGTATTTTTAATATGACAACATCGTATCATACATAATCTTGCACACTACCTAATTACCTATTATAACTTTCTTTTTTACGAAATAACACATGGATAGAAATATTAGAAACAAAACAAGAGTCCATTAGCACTTATGAGCTCGAAGCTATTTTCTGAGATCGCAACACTCAACATTCGAAGCACTCACCCAGTATGTTACATGTATTTCCAGCCTTAATTACAATTGCTATATCGTTGCATCTAGTAGTCTGTTCCCCATTTACTAGCCGTAGATTGACCTTTTCAATCTGACAGAAATAAAAAATAATGCTTAAGGTACCTGACTGCCAACAATTCAAGACCAAGTACACATACAGAGCCGAATTAGTTGAGTATTCCTACCTACATCCTGTACAAAAAACAACCGGAATAGCGTCGCGGTCAATCAGATCAATTACCAATTACTTATGTCTGAAATGATTACCTACAGACCGTATCTAAAAATTAATTTACTAAACACACCACAAGCTAATTACGCACAATAGGGTATCGGCCCAAAACCACCCGCCTGGAGATAAAAATCAAATAAAAATCGCGGACTCGCCTACAGTCTTCAGTAAGCAAATTGACTCATCAAGATGACTAAACTAACTCTCATAATTTTGTCTTTGGCGGTAGTGTTGTGCCTAATATCACTATCAGGTATGATCTCAAATTACTACGAATGCCTATAATTGTATAAGTAGGTAAAACTTTGACATAAAATCGAAATTTAAACCTAAAACTTCAAGATACAACTTGAAATTTTATCTCAAAAACTTACACTTTTAACTGGAAAATGTAGAATTATATTATAAAACTAAGGTTTACCGTAAAATTTCGAGTTAAAACTCGAAATATTTTCGCTAAACTTTTGAGTTATGAGTCGAAATTTTAAAGTATGAGTCGAAGTTGTGTGCTAACATTTCTATAAGTCGCCAGCTGTAAGTTTCAAAACCATCATTTTCACATTATATCATTATAGCATATTTTATAAGCAAATCCATGGCATAGATGCAACCCTGACTTATTGTAGATGCTAAAACCGTTGAGTGAAGTAATAATCCCCTAAGAGCAAACAGAAACATTTAAAGTTTCTAATTAAGAAACTAATTATCACGCTACCTTTGCACAGTTAGAATACTGAGAATATTTAATTCTTCATTGAGCAGATCTCGATTCCTTCACTCAACGCTCAAACGTTATTGATACAATGAAGTGAATTGAACAATATCTAACCTACTTTTATGTTTTAGGAGTATCGTGTGAATACGACGCTGATGAATCAGACGTTGATCAGGTAATTTATCTGTAATCATAAACTAATTTACACTTACTTTTTTCATTTAGGATGCTTTCCCCAATGACATGGATTGGGAAGATGGTGGCCATTTTGAAAGCAAAAGACATTTAAAACCACAAAAGAAGAAGAATTCGTTTCAATAATTTGCACATACAAACACATTTCTAATACATATCAATTGTTGATTGCTTAATTTTGGTGATATACTAATAAACGTGCTGCAATTTCATTGTTGATTTTTCGAAAGACATTCCCCTTATGTGATTCTTTTGTCCGTCCGACGGTCTGTTCCTCGTCAACAACAAAGGAAAACAGCGATGACAAACCTTCGCCATTCGATTTCCACAAGTTCAAGGATCAGTGCTATCATTGAATAAGCATCTAATTATATAGGTACTTATGCAATGGTGCTATTGAATACGAGCCTGATTAAAAGCCGCGTTCCCTAATGCGGACCGAGTGCCAAAAATTCCCCTACTGAAAATCGTATGCGATTCTTCGTATTTGTTTAAGTGTATTTTTTATGGGAAGTACAATGAGCTCTACGTCTTTTGATGGAAAACAATGCTTATACGTCATCTACATATTATGTATCAAGGGTGAGCATTTCCGATTTTATGCATTAGAACCTCCACACTGGACAGGCAAGACACCGGAATAATTCCATCGGGATTCTTGAAAACCTTTAAAAACTCATTGAAGAAAGAATTTTGTAGAGTCTCTAAGGCCTTTTAAACGTCTCAGAAACTGTTGGAAACACAACTAAGATCCTTAAACGCACTTAAATATCTTCATAGCTCGTAAAAGTTTTAAAAGGAATTAAATACGTTTGAAGGTTAATAAAAGGTCTTAAGGACCTTAAGAACCCTCAACGCCTTTGAGTGTCAGCCAACGACTCGAAAGGGGTTTTGAAATTAACCTCCTGAAAGCTCCTAAATTCTCTTAAAAGGAACGTCTTTACAAACTATTTGTAGTCCTCTTAAAAGCTCACGAAGACTCCAAAAGACTCATCTTTGTCGCTTTTGATATAACACAGACACCCCTAGAGGGTCTTATTGGAACTTTTTTTGTGTTTTTGTGCTGTTAAGGAGTCTAGAAAACTGTAGAGTACATCAAAGGGCCTTCAATACTCAATTTGATAAAGACGCATGTTTTTAATGCCCTTCTTAAAGGGTTTTTACTCTTCTTCTTCTCACGCAAGTGTTGTTGAATGATGTCCACGAGTGCTATCACACTGGCCATGTAGCCCTTTTGCAATATAATTGTGAAGAACACTGTGGTACAGGATTTTGAAGCGTTTATCTATCTGACAACGACGTTTAACAGCATACAACCTCTACCATGAATTGACCGCTGAATGTTCTGGAATAATTGGCCAAAGAATGTTGTTCGCAATCGAAATAGTACGATTGTGGAGATAATGAAGAATCTTAAAATCTAGGGAATCTTTCCCTTTGTTGTTCGAGTCCTTGGTTTGATATCGCCAAATTACATATGCTTGAATTCGGGTGTGATTGTGGCAACCAAGCTTAGTATTTCGAAGCGACGGCCTATTTCTTTCCAAATGTATGTAAGACACCTGATTTCTAATTATCAAATCGATTTTTCCTAATTAATGGAATGTTGTATCGGCCAAATGGATGTCTTCTGGAATATTAATTAGCTGCTCAATTGCTATTGATGTAGCTGGTAGGTCATTGCATACTGATGGCTGCAAGAAGCATTTGAGATTCGTTTGGTAAGGTGAGTTAACGGCTTTCATTGTAATGGCAGCAACTTTTAAAAATGGATTTTCCACAGGTGATGCCAAAAAGAAAAAAGATTTACCGGAGATATGCACTCCTCAGCTTTCCCACTAAATTTGGGTAAATCTACAACAGGTACAACAGACAAGTTGCACATTATTGAAAGTGAGAAGTGGATGAGTTTTATTAATTGACTTGATTGTTTCTAACGAGTTAAGTATAAACTTTGCTTTAGGTACTCACGCGTTTGGTGTCCGGTTCTCAAACTTCTCATCGATATTTTCTTCCGATGTCAATGCTTCGATGTCGTCTTGCACATTTTTAAATTGAATGAAAAGGTCTCCAAATGTATACTTTTGCACTGACCGTATTACTTGTTTCTTAAAACTTATCTACATGACATAAATGGTTAAGCTTGTGCAAAGTACAAATTGAAGAGATACTTGAGTTGTACTAACAACCCCACCCCAGCAAACACACTTACGTTTAAAAAACGGTTTTAAAGCGCTTTGATAGGATAAATTCGTTATTGGTACTATGGTATACGTTTTTGTGTAAACGAATTTTATAATACGATTTTTATTCATATACAATAAACGATAGAGTTCACGTTTTTTAGCATTTCTTTGGTAAACGTATATAACACCATTTTAATATACACATATAGATCGTATATCAATGAGAAATAATATGCACATAATTATTTTCCTACAAGAATTTAGCAATATCCGCCGGACATTTATCGGTGACACGTAGGGTTTCAGTCTACAAATAACGCTTTTTTATACGGAACTGTGTAGCTAGGGACGTAATGTGGTTTGATACAGATTTTCAAGTTATGGCAAGAATATAGGTAAATGAGAATAGTACTGTGGAACAAATGACATTTTTTTTTTCAATTTAGATCACCACTTCCCTAACAGCTTTTCTCATTCATTTAAACGAATCTATAAATATAAGATATTCAGTACGGTATATAACAAAATGCTTATGAGAACCGCATTATTTTGTCGATACCCACTGATTTTCTTAGAAGAAGGAAGAGATCGTTGATGGACTTCGCATAGAACGATTATTAACCGATTGCCTTATTTAAGATAGCGTAAGAGTAAACATTTTTACTATATTCTTTCTGTATAAAATGGCAGATTTGTTTGAGTTTTAAGCACACCACATCTACAGAGCAATAGACGTAAGTCACCAAATTAGTTGAGCTTTATGTTAATTAAAACCACGAAATTAATTCGTATATGTATGGTACCGTGTGGATTATCTTATCTTTCTGTTTAGAAATGTTCGTTAAGAGGTTATCTTGTACAGTATGCAACCAAAAATGTTATTAGTGGATGTATCTCGAAGGTACATGAAACAAGCGGTGTTATTACTAATTTTCTGAATATGGGTGTAGTACTTAAATCTAGTGTAAGGTACGTAATTTTCTTCAATAATCTAAATCTACCACAGAGTAAAGGGAGAGATAGGTTAAAATTTTCTTTCTAATAACGGACAAGCCCATCTAAGTTTACATTGATTTTTGATCCATCAACAGAATATGTTCATTATTGCCCCAAATACACTTGTCTGTGCTTTCTGAACTGGTTCAAACTTGATAACCCAGGCATGTAGAAATAAACATAAAGTACAGTTTCCTGGTTCGTAAATTCCTAAATGAATCAATTTTAGGGACAATTTTGTATCGTATGTTGTGATTTGTATAAAGAATCAAAAGCGTATCGAGTAAAAGTAGTTATTACAATTTTTTTCAATTATCTAATATGTTTTGTAATAGAAATTGATCTACTAACCTTAATTACACATAATACTATTTTAAATTTCTCTTACCGTAAAATGTTGGATTAATAATTTCAATATTACAAAGAAAAAAACTAACCATTAGTATTTCCTCCACTATAAGCGTCGAAAGTCTATGTAGGAACAATAGGTAAGTAACATTAACAGTTGCCTAATTACATTTTAGATCTCCATTTTATTAAAACTAAATTAATTTTGAAAATGTCCGTTAAGTATAAAGAAGGATACATCAACGTTGTGGATGACAAAAATGCTGAGGATTTTATAAACACTATCGTTTCTGGCACTCATATTGACAGGCCACTCTTCGTGGGTGATCTAAATGAAATTATCTTTAAACATGAGCTATGGAAGAAATTAACTCCAAGAATGCAGCCATACTATGGTTAGTATTTAAAAAGCGATTTATATAAAAGCAAAAAGCTTACAGCTGTCAGATGCAATAATTCAGATACCGTTCTTCGAATAATGGCTAAACTGGGTGTAGGATTTGTGTGCGTCTCTAAAACTGAACTCCAGCAAGTGCTGTCAATAGGAGTTGATCCTTCGCAAATCATTTTTGGCCGCACAATAAAATTTGTGAGTCACATTCAATTTGCGGTGGATAACAATATTAAATTAATGACATTTGATAACAAGGAGGAGCTCCTGAAAATTAATAACATCTGTCCGGACGCAAGGTAAGAAGATAATAACACTAAAAGCGTTTTAGCAAACACATTATAGAGTACTTATTCACATACGACATGATGTTAAATTAAAGGCGCCATTTCAAACCAAATTTGGTTGTGATCCAAACACGGATGCTGAAGTTCTATTAAAATTGGCTTTTAGTTTAAAAATTCATGTAATTGGGGTGACCTTTGAAATTGATCCAGAGTCAGATTTTCGTTCAATATGTAACAGCATGAATGCAGCTCGTCGTCTGTTTAATACTGCCAAAACCATGGGCCTCAATTTTAGCCTTTTGTACATAAACGGAGAACGCATAGGAAATCCTGGGCACAACGACGAATTGTACAATGTTAGTGTTGGGCCAAATCCCTCTTATTTTCATTTTGAGCGTTGTAGTTTTCAAAAGAAGTGAGCATGGCGATTGAAGAATACTTCCCAAACAGGAGGATTAAAGTTATATTTGAAGATGGAAGTTACTTTGTCCGTTCAGCCTTTAAATTGGCGACCAGCGTTTTTGGAATAAAAATAAAGAAAGAAATGTCTTTGGTTAAATATCACTACTATATGAATCACAGTACATTTCTAAGTTTGAATAGCATTGTATATTGGAACACGAATACTTTTCCGCAGACACTTCAGGTAAAAAGAAACTTGGTAGATATTATATTATCACACTGAAATTGTAGAAAACCGTTAAAAGTGGATTTCCCTCGGTCCTGTGGGGGCCTACTTGTGATTCTATCGATGTATTGCACAATGACACGACCTTACCGATACTCAATTGTGGAGACTGGATCGTCTTTAACAATATGGGGAGTTATAGTTTAGTTTTATCTACCAACTTTAACGGGTTTAGCAGTTTTTCTGCTTATTATTTGATTAATAAACATAATTGGTGAGGAAAGTCGGTTTAGGGTGTAGTTTTCTTTTAAGAAGCTTGCTCTTTTTTAGGATCTTTCTGAACAAAAATCCTTTCAATGCAGTGGATATCATAGAAGATGACTACACCAATAACCTTACGAACAAAAACATTCAATAGCTGTATGAGGATTTAATAATGAGCGATGACGATACAACGATAGTCACAAGATATGGTCTTATACTGGATAGAATATTTTGTAACATGTTATGTGACCAACACTTAATAAAAAAATTACAGATTTCGCAATCCATGCAACCATCGGAAGCTCGCTCGTGTCGCAAACGTACATTTTCTGAATAATAAGCCTCATAACATGCTCGTAATCCTATTAAAGGAGATGTGCAAAAATGTTAGATTGGAATTATCAAAAAATCTTTAAAAAATTCGCGGAATAAACACAATTTATTTAGCCAGAGAGAAATGCAATATAAGAGATATCTCAACCCTAATTGGAGAGTTTGTTTCACGTTGTATTAGCGTGAGGTATGGTTGGATTTATACCAAAGTTGTGGAAAGGGAAAACGCCTTGGATTTAGTACGTTTGGATAGCTATGATAAAATCATGGTTCTGTCATACAACATAAAGGAAGATTAGTTGGTTGGGGGAGCGTTTTTCAGGCTTAGTCATTGTCATAGTTTTTGTTCTCGTCGGGAAGAAAACCATCACAGAAACGTACTGAAGTTGGTTGCTGCCTTTCTGGGGCTAAAACTTTTGCCCGAGACTTACAAAATACTTTTATCCTGCTTCGGACTGACAATACCATAGCAGTTGCCTACATCTATAAAGTGTGTGGAAGTGTGGAGGGAGGTTATTCAAAGCATTAGACTGCTGAGACTAGCTAAACAATTCTAACAAAGGTGCCAAGCTAGAGGCCTACACGCTTTAATTCCCACACGATCTAAATTGTAGATATTGCTTCCTGTAGGTTAGAACCAGAGACCGAATAGGAACTATCAAATTTTGCCTTCTCTCTGATTACCAAGAAATTTGGTACCCCGACTAGAGAAGAGGGGGTGGAGTGTGGGAAAAAGGTCTCACGAAAGTAATTAATTTCTACCAACCATAGCCTCCTCATCGACTCCTTATCGTGATCGGATATAAATAATTCCTTACATCACAAAAACAGATTGTCGGAGGATGGTACTCACAAAGGGCGATTGCTAGGGCGATTGGGACGTCTGGAAGAAACATATCTATTGGAAACTTTACGAACGAATATTTCGAAAACGCTTTGTCGGGGGAAAGTACACACAAAGGCAAAATGAATTGTTTGGATGAGACATATCTATTGGTGGTGTCTCCTCATTAATCATGTAACAAGAAAGAAAACATCAATAAATAGAAAAAGTGCATTAATAAACATCTTCCATTAATTTTACCATTTTTTTATATCAATTTTGGGAACATTAAATTAACTGGTATTTGCACCAAAGTTGACCACCAATGTTTTCAAAAAGTAAAAAATCATGCGCATACAATAAAATATGTAAAAAAAATTAAAGCAAGAGTGATTATATTATTACCTTTAGTCAAAAATTTACATTCGTTTTGTTACAAAACTTAGTGTTAATGCAAATATCGACATAGCTTGAATTAAACGTAATGCACTTTTGTTTGTATTCGCGTAGTTAGTCGGACTTGAATTATTCCAAAGAGTTCTACACTTCCAAAGGGTTTCGTCATCGACTTCGTTAAGATCTTTGATAGGGATCCACATTTGATGCGGAACTTGGTCTACTGATGCTTTGGCTATCTAAAAAGCGATGGTGTTCGCCAACGTCAGTTTTTGTTAACAAACAATTTACCTTTTCCACTTCTGTAAATACTCGCAAGAAATTTCCTCCGGCCAACTTCGCCAAGGTCTCCTTATTCCATCTCATAGGGTTCTTTGATTGTAGAAGATCAAATAATTCGGGATACTTAGAGACATCCTCCAAACCTTTTGTAACTCTCTCTACGCCATCAAAATCGCCACCAATTCCTACACTATCAATTCCTGCCACATCAACGATATGATTGATGTGATCTAAAAAGCAAAGTGAGTATACTACCTAAGGCAACTGGTGCGTATACCAATGACATGGTGTACGGTAGCTTCACTGGCATTCGCATGTATAAACCCGGGATAGAAATTAACCATAGCAACTCCAGTGTTCTTTTTCTAAATAAAAAGCTATGGATAAGGTTTTCGAGTTTTACAACTTACAAGCAGACGTAAAGTGTCGTCGGGTATATTGCGATGGTGTGCAAAAACTGCATACGCCGAAGAATGTGAAAATATCACGGGAGCCCTACTAACAGAGATGGCCTGATTCATCACATTGTGTGACACATGCGACAAATCTACCATCATTCCGAGACGATTCATCTCCTTCACGACCACCTAAAAAGCCCACTTTAATCGCATTTTACTAACCGTAAGTTGGCTACCTTTCCAAATTCGGTTAGATTATGGACCGGTGTACGTGTATCAACTGGAGATGCGTCCGCCCTAAAACATTTATACGTAATATTCAAAAAATCTCGTTCAGTGTTACCAAGGGGTGTTGCACGAGTGCGTTAGGGTCATGTATCTCACGCCTAAATCATACAACATTCGCAATACTCCCAATCGTGAGTCCATGGAGTGACCACCTTCCACTCCTATCAAACTTGCAATTTTTTTCTCTCGAAAAGCGCCCATTATGCCTAAAAAATCTATACGTAATCTACAGGTGTTACCATTTAATCACCTTCAGGGGTGGTGACGAGCTCTAAATCTTTCGAGTACTTCTTCACGAGCCTTTTAATGACATCGATCTGGTCAATCGTTTTGGCTAACGCATCCTTGTACTGCACCTTACAAGATACGTATGCAACCCAAAACTAGAATCAAAACATTACTTTTTCTTGAAAAAAGTCTGGAGAGCTATTACCTGAGCAGAGACTTTTCCCACCCTAAGCCTGGGTAAGTCAGTATGACAACTCGAGCAGTTTTTAGTCCCCCACAATTTATCGTTGCTTAAATTTTCCTCAAAGTGAAAGTGGGTTAAATTATTTTGGAGAATCTGGTATAAATTGTAAGGCAAATCGTTATGGCTGAAACGTGAAGGAATGGTGCGCTTTTCAATGAATATCAATTTAAAGTGATTACCCATCAATTAATGGTTGCTCGTCTAGGATATGCCCTGATGATACCGTACAAATGACGAGGAGTCCAAGAAGGTCTGAAAACAATTTGATTTGTTAATCTCTTGGTCCAGTTAATTTTAAAAGGTCAGAAATTCAGAAAATTGACAAAAAAAATTGCTTCTATGTAATGGACAGCGAGACAATATATTTTGAGCAATTGAGCGTGATTATTGCTAACGTGATGAGATTTTGACCTTCCAACCTATGGTCCCTATGGGATGTAATACAAGAAACTGCATCTTCTGTATGTGTGAATTGCATTCGTCAATTAGTCATAGTTAATTGTTAAGATACAAATTATTTTTCGGCATATTAGTGTTCTCAATAATGGGTTCAATGAGAGATTTAATCGATTCTCTGTATTGCGATTTCGTGATTTCCGTGAAAGTATGACAAAACAAGTTGTTCCCATGATGTTGTTGGTCATTGACGTAAAGAGTGTGGGAAATTCTAACTAAAATGTTAGTATGACGTCAACTAACCAAAGTTAAGAATTTGATAGCTGCAGTGTAAACAAATTGGAAGATATTATTCACTTACAAAATAACAAAACAAAAAGAAACTGGATTAGTCAATTAACACATTCCAATTTAAGCGAAATGGATTTTTTTAGAGATCAATTTCAAAATTAGTGCGCGTTCTGAACTACCTCTTTGTAAATTTGTTGAAGAAGTAAACACCAAATATATAAGGTACGTTCATAAAACGTAATGTCTAGGTTAAAGTATAAGAATCAACCATTGTGCATCCAAATGTATGATCCTACAAGTCTACCGCCAGGCCTAGTAAAAAGTTTTGCCACATTACATTTCGTTAGTGCTTCCAATGGGCCTCTTTCGTAGATGAGCATTAAAGGTAGGTTTCCGTTGGGTTTATGAGCTTCTAAGTTTTGTTTACGTCTACTTTAAATACAGCTCCCCTTGCTGATTCGCCTGTTAGTTCATATAACCCAGTGCCTAAATGTTAATTTTATAGAATACAGATCAAGAGACATCGACTGAAACACGACAAAAGCAAGAGCAAGAGAGCTACAAAGAAGGTGTATTTCTATAAGGAAATTTGGCATCATTGGCTACCAATAATTATTTTAGTAATAGAAACTATGAAAAGGTGCAACCTAAAAATGACCAATTAACCAATAAAAAAATAAAGAAAATAACAAAAAAGCAATTGAAAATAAAGAACGAAAACGGTACAACACAGCAAGCCACTAATAACCGATTTTAACAAAAAAAAAATATCACAACCTTAGGAGAAACTTCACGAGAGTGCTAATTTATTGTACTTGTACTCTAAGTACATTTCTGCCAACAATGATACAATATGGTTTTTCGATCCAAATTCTACAACCGTAAACTAGCAATCGCAAAGGTCAAAATGCAGGAATTTTGAAAACCCTAGAAAACCAAATAAATTGTTTCGTTTTACGGGTACCATTGGACTAACAACATACATTATAAATAATCTCTCTTATTCCGTTCGGTAGTTGCGTGTTATTTCAATATCTAATTGACTGAGATTAATGACGTGACTGAACAATTTTGAAGTTATTTGATGAAACGGTTGCTTTATTCGTTATAAAATGGAAATAACCTTCAAGCGAGTTGTTTGTGATCCCACTTCATTTTATCTCTCTTTTGAGTGATTAGAACTAAAGGGGACACTTATACTTGTTTTGAATCCTTTTACAAGTGTCGATTTTTTCAGAAGATCAATGGTCGCTACCAATTAGATACGACCTAGTTCACCTTATAATTAAGTTTGATACTTAATCTTCGCAATGAGGTGCGATCAGAATTTTTTTCTAAATTTCTCAAAATTGAGAGTTGATTAAATTTGTTGATCCAATTTCAATGTATAAACTAAAATCAAATTATTCAAGCGTTTTTTGACATCTACCTAGAACAAAAAGCTAAATTTGATGTCTAAGGTAGTTTTGAATCCCATAAGCCCCTACACGCATGGAAGGTCCGGTAATTTCCAAGATAAACACTAACCGTTTATGCACAATTAACATTTTTAATTAGCATTACTCACCTGCGATAAGGGAAAAATGCGGCACATTATATTGAACTAGGTAACTCAATAGCCTCGAAGTAGATAATATGTAGGGTATCTATCTCAGTTATCGTTATAGGTACATAATACAATTATCCTCGTGAATATCAATTTCACAAAAATATGACGGTCAAGCAGCTATTGAAATTTATAGGTCTATTCAATGTCAGCACAATAAGTTAACAAAAAAAGTGGCAATTCAGAACCGTGTAACCTTGCTTTAAATTAACTAGGTGGTGTAATTTTGACATGAACCTATATGTAAATTTGTAAAATTAACGAAATTTAAACAATTGAATCACTGTGAATACAAAAATGTAAATTAAAGAAAATGCAGTGAGAGACTTACGTAAAGGGCCCATTATTGTGCTACGATTGCCAACAAATCAAATAAGTATGATTATTTACACTCGGCAGAACACAACGAACTAAACTACTGTACAGGTAATATTAAATTGAGAATTTGAAGGCTTATTCACAATAACGGGCAAGTTATCTATCATATCTGATTGCTTTTATTCAAACAAATAGGGGATTTTCGTTGCACAAAGGGGATTCAAACAATTTCGTGAATTAATTTAAAAAATCTTGTTTCGAAAATGTTAACAACTATTTCGGTGATATGCAGAGTAAGACCAAATATGTTGTTCACTTTGCACCCCACTCTCCAACCAAGAGTATTATTATTATTTATTGTATCTAAAAGAATTACAATGATTCCTTATTACAAGGGAACGAATGGTTAGTTACATTACAGCAACATAAAACAAATTTGCATATACATAATCAACCAAGAGTAATATTTTTTTGGAAGCTATCAATAAATCCATTTCATTCACGCACATTGGTATTTACTTTAAAATTGCCGCTACTCACCCCCTCAAGCCTTGGTGATCACTCCCTTTTTTGTGTAACAGTTACACAATAATTTTCTGGACATTCAATTAAGTATGAAATTACCTCCAAAAAGGTGGCGAAATTTGCACTTCTTTAATTTTTTTCTCAGCAACCATAAGAGTTAGATACGTCTTTGAATAGGTTTTGGGGTATGCCCTTTCCGATTTGCTAATTTTTTTCAAAATTCCCACGACCAAAGAGCGCACTCCTAGCCGGATTCGAAAAAAATTTGATTTCGACTAAAATTGGTATTTGGGGGTTTTTAATCACGAATCTGAAATGGGTTTTTGAAAATTCGGAAAAAATTCCACTGCAATTCTTGGCCGGACAACGAAAATAGAGAGAATTCCACGAAATTTGTTCTGTACATACTTGATGATTGAGGTAAGGAGCAAAACTGTTGAACAGTTTTTAAAAATCACTTTTGAAATAAAAGTTATACTCGGGTGAAGATTAGTCCTTCGGGTCAGAAATTGTCCCCCGTCTACTAGCAGAGCTGGACAGTATTCGATTTGTAAATACTTTTTAGTATTCAAATCCTTTAAAGTATTCAAATACTTTGTAATTAAATACTTTTATGGAAGCTGTATTTGTATTTGTAACTCAAATACTTTCACAAATATTTAGTATTCGAATACTTCGCAAAGTATTTGGATACTTCGTAAAGTAGGTATTCGAATACTTCGCAACCTTCCTTTTCTTACCAAAAATCGACTGCATCAAAATACGAGAATACCTACACTTTTTCTTATTAATTTTGGTGCGTAGAATCCAAAACAATTCGTACTTTTTCGATTAGACTTCTCAATCAAAAGTTATAGACTAGAAACCAATTTCGAAAAAAAATTCAAAGGGCTGTAACTTTTGAACTAGTAGCCCAATCTTGGAACTGTTTGAAATTATGGATTCTACAGGCCACATTCTATAAGAAAATTTTTTTCCGGGTCGATCTGAGACAATTTTTTTTTCGGGGCTCAAAAAAAGGCAGTGTATAACCTTCCTTTTTTACCAAAAATCGACTGCACCAAAATTTCTCGGGAAAACACTTTTTCTTATTAATTTTGGTGCGTAGAATCCAAAACAATTCGTACTTTTTCGATCAGACTTCTCAATCAAAAGTTATAGACTAGAAACCAATTTCGAAAAAAAATTCAAAAGCTGTAACTTTTGAACTAGTAGCCCAATCTTGGAACTGTTTGAAATTATGGATTCTACAGGCCACATTCTATAAGAAAATTTTTTTCCGGGTCGATCTGAGACAATTTTTTTTTGGGGCCTCAAAAAAAGGCAGTGTATAAACCTTCCTTTTTTACCAAAAATCGACTGCACCAAAATTTCTCGGGAAAACACTTTTTCTTATTAATTTTGGTGCGTAAAATCCAAAACAATTCGTACGTTTTCGATTAGACCTCTCAATAAAAAGTTATGGACAAAAAACAAATTTCGAAAAAAAATTCAAAGGGCTGTAACTTTTGATCTCGTAGCGCAATCTTCAAACTGTTTGAAATTATGGATTCTACGGGCCAAATTCTATAAGAAAATGTTTTCCCGGTCGATCTCAGACAATTTTTTTTCCGGCCTCAAAAAAAGGCAGTACTTTTAAGTTATTCAAATATTTGAGAACAATTTAGAAATGTTTAGGGAAAGTTTCCATTGTCACAAAATCATAAAAATCCGATACATCTGAATACCGAACTCGATAGTCTACGTAATAAAACCGTTCTTATATCCTTGAGACCTTGTGTACCAATTTTCAAAGCGATCGCACGTTTCTAAACAAGTTAAAGGTCCCATTCACATGCGGATATGTACGGCGGATCTGTACGGCGGACATGTACGCGGGACAGATCCGTATCAATTCGTATGTGTGTATCCGCATGTTCGGCGTACATATCTTGCTCGCCATCCGTCGATCAGGACGACGAGCACGGACAGCGAGCCCGACAAATACGCACGTGTGTAGTCGTTTCACGGATTTGTTTGCCGGACATAGAATCACAAAATAGGAACTTCTTGAAAATATGTTTGGAAATTTAAGAAATCAAAATGGAAATGCGACTAATCCTACTCCAATTAAACAGATTTTTAAATAAATATTTTGTTTAAATTACTTTGAAATGCAGGCGCAAATTGTGCTAAAGATTTGAGTGATCTTTTGAGTAACTTTACAAGCAAAATTGCGGCACAACACCGAACTGATGGTGAATTTGAAGACTACGGTGATATTAACATTTTTGGGGAACAATTTAAATACTGGTAAAGATTGTAGTGCTTACTCCACCAACCAAGTACACCTAACTACTAATGAAATAATTTTATGCCATTTCCGAGCATATTCTGCCAAGGCAGGTGGCTTATTTGAAAGTTTCAGATATCATTTTGCCGAGAAACTTTGTGGAGATTGCACAACTGAATTTTAGGTCTTCAATATTCCTTCAAGTTGCTAAGTACTGTAGCGTGGCAATTAATCGCTCTCTACTGGTAACTGCTTCATGTGGGTATCATTCCTCCCATTAGCTGGGCGAACATATTTTAATAAAGTTTCAAATGTCTCATTGTCCATGCGCAAAAAATTGTGCAAATCATGAGGCGTTTCCAAATCTCTAAGTAAAGTCGTATGAGAGTACTTTTTCGAGTCAAGAACCACTGTTTTGACCACAGTCTCTTCTGTTTCCTATCTTCAAATAAAACTATATATCCTGCAATTATTGTCAGTTTCTTCTTATGATCCATAGCAATTACGACAGCACTCAAAACCACACATTCCATGGGCTAGCACTACAGAATTGAAATAGCGAGAGAACGCCGCCTGCTTGTCTATTGAGATTTGTCCGTGATCTGTGTACAGCCATATCCGCCTGTGTGTAGCTCAACACGGATCTGTCCGCCGTACAGATCCGCCGTACACATCCGCATGTGAATGGGACCCTTTATCATGCACACGGACAAACGGATGGTCAAAAATGGATTTGTTCCAAAATCGCTAGAATTAATTTCAGAAAGGCGTACGTATCATGTGCACGACGTACGCTTTGAAAACTGGTACACGTATTCTTAAGGATATAACTGGTATAAGAAAGGTCCTGGTAGGTACCTCCTATATAATAATATAATAATAATAATACGCTTTTACTCCCCTTAATTTGTATATAACAATAGAAATATAAAAAAAGCTAACCCCATACAAAGTATAACTTGATTTTTTATCTAGTATAGGTACTATTTTAAATTTTTAATGTAATACTTTTCAAAGTATTCGAATACTTTTAATAGTATTCGAATACCTTTGTAAGTATTAGAATACTTTTGAAGGTATTCGAATACATTCTAAAATATTTGAATACTTATTTTTTAAGTATCTGAATACTTTTCAATGTATCTGTATCTAGTATTCGCTTGTGCTGGACGTAAAAGTATTTAGTATTCAAATACCTTTGATTTGTGTAAAGTATTTACTATTTAGTATTCAAATACTTTTTGAAAGTATTCTGCCCAGCTCTGTCTACTAGATTGCGCAGCTGCTGAATCCCAGAACAGTGCACATCAGCGTTGGCGACGAAATATTAAAGTTCACAGTAGTGAGAGGATGTTCCCAAGGTGGAGTGCTAGTGCTATCATTGAATTTATATGGTGCTATCACCACTTCTGTGGAACTTAATTGTAAACAGCCTCCTCTGTCGCCTCAATGATAGTGGCTACTGTGTTGGCTGGGTCTGTGTCTGAAGAAAGTCTTATAAAATCCAAGTGGACATGCTAAATCTGTCAAAATGACACTCTCGTAGGTTACAGAAATAAAATGTCCATTTGGTTATAGAACACTAGATGAATTAGGAATGTTGGGTATGTTGGGGTATGTGGATGAGACACCGGCAAATTTGAGGCTACCCTATACAGACTGATGAAATCAGCTATTAGAGTAATTGAAGAATAGAAAGTAAAGAACAGCCCTTGTCCATTAACCCGACAAAAACTGAGTTAGTTCTCTTCACAAGAAAAAGTTAGGTATTGAGTCTTCGAACTCCCCTGTTATTTCAGAAACACCTCCAATTTTCGGAATCAGTAAAATATTTAGGATAATTATAAACTGAATTGGAGCAAACATATTCAGCTTAACACCGAAAAAGCAAATAGAACTTTGGGGACCATGCTCGAAGACGGTCTTGTAATGTACACTATCGTGTGCTATGGAGAAATTATCTGGCGGCCTAGAACTAGACTTTCCACAACCGTATCTTAATCATACGCAAAGACTTGCGTACCTCGCTTGCACGGGCGCGATGCGAACAACTCCCACCGCTGTCATAGAGGCCTGCCTCCACTAGATCTCCAGGTGAAAAAGCGGGTCACTCTGGCATCCTTGCGTCTGAAAAGTAAGGGGTTGTTGAATAGCAGAGGTGAGCGACTCTCGAATTCGATTTTCTGTCCTCGAAGGACTATCGGCCTCACTCACTCCTCACATGACATGGCTACGATTAGAGCCGCTTCCCCTTCCAGTGTCCAGGTTTATCTCACGTGTGCGATGGCTTGAGTGACGGTGAGGGCTCGGACGACTTTAGACAAAGAGGTGGTGCAAGGAGCTCGAATTTGAGGCCTAGGCACGCGTGGACTCTGTCCACCCTCCTATCGTAAACCCGAATCCAGAAGTACTGTCGAGTACTTCTCGCTCACCGTTTGACTAAACTACATGGAAAACGGTATAATGAGTATAAAATATAGTCTTAGAACTAGCATTTACATTTGAAGATAACCACTAATGATTAAAATTTCAGTGTGTGTCACTTTTCGTCCCGCACTGCCATTTAGTCCTCTGGGAGAAAAAGTGGCACTTATAAGTCCCTTAAATGAAAGACTAAACACGTTGGTTTAGTCCACGGGACACAAAAATCCATTACATTTATGTAAAATATTGGCCCTAGGAACAGGAACGCGCTATGTTTTTAGCGTCCTGGGCTACATTTAGCTCGGCACCCCCGTAACTAATGTTTATAATAGTTTAATTGCGTATACTTAGTGACCGAGCTTCATAGGATTATTTGTCTGTATTGATTTTGAAACAAAATGCACCAAGAACCACAGAGGAGAGGATTGTCCTACTGGCAGCTTTTTATTGCAAGCGTTGAATGTTTAGCCCAGATCTAAATTGCAAACAATTAAAAAAATATAATTTAGCACATCTTGCCGCCCTCCTAAAAGTGGCGCCCGCCCATTTATAACCCGGGGCCTGATTGACTCCCTTCTAGCCCTGTATAATGCAAATACTTGTCTGTTCAGTAAAAAATGATCAAAATCCTCGTGTGAGATCGAAGGGACTTCAGCGCATTTTTGTGTGGCAGATCAGTGTTTTATTAGCCAATATTGACTCCACCATCAATAAGATCTTGCCGAAAGCTACCACGTTCACTTTGTCGGTACCATTTTCTCACTTACCGTGCACTCGCAATTCGCGTTTGAAGTTTTGACTCCACCATCAGTAAGATCTCGTCGAGGGTTACCACATTCCCTTTGTCGATACACAGTTCCGACGTCCCGTTCATTCGTAATTCACATTTTGGTAGATTTCGCTAAAATCCCGGCATAAAATCGTATTCAACTTTTGGGTACTTCACATAGCTCGACCTTCTATTAGTGACACGAGAAAGAGAGACCGCGATTCGCGCTGTAAGAAACTTTTGGGCGCCCAAAGTCGTCTACCCCTCGAAGCGCGCCGCGCAAAAGGTGGTTTATGTCGCCCCTAGGAAAAAAAAACAAAATTCCGCGACGCAGGAGTTGTGCGCGTTGACAAGATCTTCCCGACGACACCAATTTGAAAACAATCGGAGAAAAACTGTAGAAGAAGATAGATAAAAACTGAAAAATCTCCAGGTTAGTATAATACGCTCGGGGATGGCGTCCAGATGTCGTCGACTCCAAATCTTGTAGCCCCATCCCTAACGTTCTTAATTACACGGCCCCGATAGTTACATGTACACTCCTTGTCTTTTTACAAGCGTTTTTCTACGGGCGCGCATTTACTGCCAGCCAGCCAGCCAGCCAGCCAGCCAGCCGACCAGCCAGCCAGCCAGCCAAAGTGAGATTAAAAGCTACTTTTTACAAAAAAATTTTTTGCAAAAATGCGCTAAAAAACTAAACACTTTTTAAGCTGTACTTTGTAGATTCATAGGGTATAACTAAGTAACGAGGTTATCAATGTTTATGAGCAAATTATACAACCTTTAACGATTGTCAGGATCGCTAGGTTTAGTGAAATCGAGGTCTTGTTTATAAATAAATTAGGAATACGTCACTAACACTCGAGATAAAATTATCATTACGCTAGGTTTCGTATTAACAAACTAATTTAAGTACAGTATTATTGTATTTCGAGTCAAGTAAAATCTGAAAATGAATTATAAACGAGATCTTGTTAACATAGAAGAAGACGTTAATGTTCGATCGGCAATTGCAGATATTGTGAAATCTGAGTCGGAAGATTGTCCTACGTTCGTCTGTAATGTTGATGATATTATTGCTAAGCATGAGCTGTGGAGGAAGCTAATGCCACGTATTGAACCACATTACGGTGAGGAAGATTTATTGTCTATACATTGATACCAATATCGTTTCAGCAGTGAAATGTAATGATTCCGATATCGTTCTTCGAACTATAGCTGCATTGGGTTTGGGGTTTGATTGTGCGTCTAAGGTTGAAATAGAACGGGTACTTTCGATTGGCGTCGATCCGTCGAAAATAATATTCGCTCACACAGTCAAATTTGATAATCATATCAAATATGCAGTAGAAAACAATGTAACGCTAATGACGTTCGATACTGAACATGAATTACGAAAAATGAAAGCAACGGCTCCTTGTGTGCGGTAGGGTATCTTAAAACTGTTCAATTCGAATTCAACGGAAAATTGTAGGGCTGTTATAAGGATCAGGTATGATTCCAACGCGAAAGTCGTTCTTGGGACTAAATTTGGATGCGATCCATACACCGAAGCTCCTGGTTTACTTGAATTGGCCAAAAGCGTGGGAATTGACGTGGTTGGAGTTAGTTTTCATGTCGGGTCAGGTTCGAAAGATTTTGTTTCATTCTATAATGCGATACATTCGGCAAACCATGTCTTCGGAATTGCCAAAGATCTAGGCCTACATTTCGACCTTTTGGACATAGGGGGAGGCTTTCCTGGAAAACCCAGTGATTCAATCGAAACAGTTAGTGCTGCCATACCAATTGTAATAGAGTTTTCACTACGTTTCAGTTTGCAGAACATGTGAATGCCGCCATTGAAGAGTGCTTTTCAGATCCAAAAATCAGAATAATTTCAGAACCTGGAATGTACTTTGTGGAATCGGCCTTTACGTTAGCGTGCTCAATTTATGGTGTAACTGAAAGCGTTGTTCAAGACGAAAATGTATACAACTATTTTGTTAGCGATGGTGTCTTTGGGAACTTTACGTCAGTTGTTTCTTATGATATGGATGTACTTCCAGAAGCTTTGCGTGTAAAAGTATTATGCTCTTAATCTAACTTATGTTAACGTTTCTTTTGTCTACAGAACGATGAGGGGGAGAAATATTTAAGTGTAATACGCGGACCGACAACTGATGCCCATGATGTTATACCAAGAACATTTTTACTTCCAAAAATGAAGTATGGAGATTACATTATTTTTCACTATATGGGTAGTTACACTTCTGTACTCACTACGCCATTCAATGGATTTGGTGAATCCCATTATTACTATGTCGTCAGCAAAGATAACTGGTAAGTTCATGGATTTTTAACTGCAGTGAATACGCTATGATTTGCAGGTGCAGACTGCAGAGTAGCAAATTGCCCTTACCAAATAGTTATTGTAATTTATTATGCGAAAAAAACTAATAATTTCAATTAAAGACAAGAACAAGAAAATTTCATTTTAACAATAAGTCGATTTCGCTTCATATCACCTTTACGATATCGAAATCGATAATGATACTTGGACTGTTTTTATTCGTAGGTACTTAATACGTAACACATTGCACCTTATTATCATTGTAATTACAATCATCTTCGCAAGAGCGAAACTCTTTCGTGACTGCTCCGTAAGCTGGCAGGGTACGTACCTAACTTCGGTAACCTATTAACGCTTAGGTAAATCTGAGTGACATAATGACATGTCGAAATGGATTTATACAAAACTAGGTACATCCAGAACAAATAGTTTATCCACAAGATACATTTAGCTTAAAAATCTCAAGAACTAGTGAAAAAGAGGAAAGATTGGGTAAACAGTTTTCCGAGATTATTGATTTTTAGAAAAACGTATGGCTTCCTGGATGTCTTAATGCTCTTTCTGTACTCAAACTAATCGTATTCCTTCTCTACAAATGAAAGAAACAATCTGCGAAAGTAGTACCCTAGTTATCCTGATAAAGTTGAGCTGTCTAAGAGCTATTAGTTCTGTAAGAATAAGTATCTTCTATGGAAGTACAATTAAAATACTATTCCTTTCTTTGTAAATAAAATGACTCGAAAAGTTGAAGAAAACCGTCGATTCAATGGATTATTGCAAACGCAGAAGAAAAGTTTTTAGGTGCAATAAATCCAAATTCAGTAAAAGCTATTATTATAAAAAATATAAAAAGTTTTTTTGTGGATTAATATGAAGCACCTTACTAACAAAGTCTTAATAGCACCGATACTGCGGGCATATACAGGGTGACAATTTGAAAACTTACCACCCCCCCATATCTTAGTAAATAAACGAGATATTTAAAAAAATCAAAATCCGTTTCGGTGATTCGGAGGGGGAATCACAATGACATAGTTGGCGACGCACCCCCTCCAACCCCCTGCGCCCCAGCCACCCCAACTTTTAAATCTTAAATAGTGACCCCCATGTGTGATACGTCGTTGGAAAGCTCTGAAAAAATGCTTTCCAACCATACCAAATAGCATTTAGGTTAGTAATTATTGAGTCTCTTTTGTTTTATTTTTTTTGCAGGGAAATGTTTTATAATTTGAATTGGTGGTTACTGTTCATAATTTTTAACGGCCTACTAATTACTGAGAGCTTTTGAAAATCGAAAAACACAGGGAAAAACACTATGAATTATATTAGAAATTGTTGAATTACAAAAAAAATATGTAAAAGGTAGGTAAATACCGACATGCTTATATCGTTGGAAAGGTAATCAAATCCTACAATTGATGCAATAAAAAAAATAGTAGTTCTATTAATAAAAATCAAGTTAACTGTGATTGAAATTTTGAACATTGACGCAGTGGTTTCATTTAACACAAAAAAATTTAACATTGACCGTATTCGGCGAATGGTAGTACATTTCATGCAGTCCCGGCCTTTTAATCGCATTGTTACTTCACATCTACTTTTTCAAAAAATCACCATTGCGGCAAAACGATGGATTTTAGATATCATGCATAATACATACAAATTGACCAAGAAATCAAAATCTGCAACAACTATTTAAAAAAAATGCAACTTTGATATAAATCAAAGTGTATAACAATAGCAAATTCGGCGAAAATATTTTTAGGCTATAGCCGCGTTGATAAACCCACAATCTTCCGCCTACGCACTAATGGCCCACCCTGTATGCAAATTTCAAGCAACTTTTGTTTAAAAGATGTAAAACCAGATCGTTGATATGTTTAAACGTCTTTGGATATTACCGAGGATATTACCTTGCAAACCTTTTCTCGTGTTATCTTTCCGAATAATTGACGAACATGTCTATTTCATCTCAAAATATTATACTGAAATTAATGCGCACCAACATCAATAACTTGACTTTTCGGAATAACTGATACAAGAATTTACGCGTTCTTCTACAGTAAGTGAAGGTTACAATATAAATGTGCCCCCTCCCCCCTGTTAGCTTTTCTGTCTACTGTGGTCCAATTGTGCTCTATTGGGTATTTATGTCGCCTTTTTTGGGTTTAGAAATAAATAGAAAATTAATGGGGGCGAGGTGAACGTCCCCAAAAATATACTAAACTTTATTATACTCAAAACTCGTTCGAGTCCCTTTCATAAACCTACCGATATCTACATGAAGCGAGATTAGATAAGACTAGATAAAGAGCCTTCGGGAGTACTGCATTAGCTTGGTACTATCGAGTTATTCCTGCATCGCTTAGTTTGAAAACTAAAGGTCATGCCGAAGTTGATAATTCATCAATTTTATTTAAACGCCGGCTTTTATATATCTATCAAAAGTACCTATTTGAATACTTTAAAAAGTGTTTCATTACTTTGACAAGTGCTCAAATATAGTAAAAAGTATTCAAATACTTCACTCAAATAATTGAAAAATTAAAAAGATTATCCATCATCATCATGATCACTTGATGTTATTTTGGGTGATTACATTTAGTAGCCTATTACGGTGTTTAAACAGTATATATGCATCTATAAAAATATTAGTTTTACCATATCGTGGTGCAGTGGCTTGAAACAATATCATCATCACATCTCGAAATTCGATACAGTCGAATACCGAATGATCCTCGAGATGTTCACGCATCCACTATTTTTAGAACTTCGTAACTGAAACAATAGAATAGCGACCTTTTTTATACCCCTAAGAACATGAGTACCAATTTTTAAAGCGATCTGACGTTTCTAAACAAAGTTATTATGAACACGGACAGATAGACACAGTAATACGAAATTATAAACTCTTGGCGATCGTTAAACAACATATGAAGTATCGCGTACGATTCTTAGTAGGGGAATTTTTTGACACTCGGCTCGCATTTGGAAATAAGACTTTTAATTCAGCTCATATTCAATAGCATTGATCTTTAAAGTCATAGGAATAGATTGGTGAAGGTTTGACATCCCTGTCTCTTTCCATTCTCCAATTAAACGAGGAACAGACAGACAGACGGGCGGACAAAACCATCACATAAGGGGAATTTCTGTCGAATAATATTTAAATCCTTCTGACAGTATTTAAATACTTTCCATTTATATATATATATATATTTAAATAGTTCTCAAAGTATTTCACTAACTTGAAAAGTATTTGAATTGTTGGTGAAGTATTAGAATACTTTGCGAAATATGCGGATTGTCTGTAAAGGATTTGAACACTAAAAAATATATGTTAAAGTATTTTAGTTCAGAATACAAATACTGCTTCCATAAAAGTACCTATTTAATTACAAAGTATTTGAATATGTACTCGAAAGTAACTGAATACTACCTACACAGTATTTACAACGTAGAATACTGCCCACTGCCCAGCTCTGATTGTATGTTACAATTTTATAATTTATAATTTTATTTATTTTACATTTAATACACTACACTAACTGCTAATTAATTTTATTTTTAATTCAATTTTATGAGCACTATCTAGACTATCCTTGGCTGGAGTGAAGTGTTCTCGATTTGCATTTAAATCATTAAATGAAGACGCATTTTGAACTAAAATTGTTAATCCTTTTGCAAGTAGTCTCTAATTTAGAATTGACAAATCAAATATTCCTTCCCACAAAATGATCTTAATACGTCCAGTTTAGTTTTAAAACTCGGAATGCGTGGCGCTACTCAACAGCAAGTAAAATTCATACAATCCATACACGGTAGACGTTTCGTGGAAAGATTGTCACGGCCGTATTTCTTTACAGATCTTTTCAATTTTTTTTTTGTTGAAAAGACGAAGGATAATTCTATGTTTCTATAGTAACACTTTTTTGATTATTTATTTCCATAATGCAAAATTCTACGTATGAAGAGTGACACATTTTGGCTATATTTAACACGATATTTCACTTGATATTGCAATAAATTTGAAAAATGTGTTACTATAGAAACATCGCAAATTTCCTTGCGAAGAGATCGGTGTATCATTTAGCACTAAGTGATTGAAACTAAAGTCTGGGGAATTTTTCTATGAAACCTCTGCAAACGCTCATAAATGAACTGTGTGAGATCCCCCTTAAGTGTCCTAAGTGTAGATACTGCGAGTTGCTTTGGTCACCGGCAAATAAATGAAATATAAAATCTTGCATTTATTAAATTACCTATAATTTACTGTTTGATAATATTAACAATACATTTAATTAATCCTTATCAATGCAAAAAATTGTGCTAAACCGTTTCCTCAAATTGAAATGGTTTAGGGACTCATCTAGACTAACACTTGCTCGTTTGAAGGGAAAATCCTGAGAAAAACGCCCGACCGCCCTATAAAAAAATGTTCAAATAAAATGCACATTACAAGTCTATACTTACAGGGTGTCGTCATTAACAATATAAAAAATGTGTGGTATAGAAAAACCATTGAAGGATGTGCACAAACTTAAGCAATACGCTCCCATATTTGGAAAAACTAACCAATCGCCAATTTCCAAGTTAGGTATCGTGACATCGTTTGTCAACCTATCGGGGGTTGCACAGGTTACACCAAAGATAATACTGGAGTACACATTTTTACTGCGGTAGTTCTAAAATTTAAAGCTTTAAATTTGCCTTTTGCGTGCACTCTACTCACCTTTAAAGGATACATTGTAATTGGCACATTAAAGCAGTAATCTCTGTTGAAGCTGCCGAATATTCCATCGTTTATGTAATAAACCCACTTATTATTCGAATTGAATTTTCTAGATATAATATTACAGGCTAACGTAAATGAGGAATTTACAAAAAAAGTTCCCGGTTCTGCAATCACTTGAATTGACACATCGGAAAAATACTCATCAAGCGCTTGATTTATTGTAACTGCAAGCTATTACACGCTATCAACTACAGTTTAATTGATAATCGCTCACCTACCTTTCTGAAATACCTATCATTAGTACCTGGGAATCCTCCCCCAATATCTAGTATATTGAGATTGTATCCGTGGACTTTCGCTAAATTGAATACGGTGCGTGTCAGTTTAATTGCGTTGTAGAATGCATCGAAATCTTTACATCCGAAACCTACGTGGAAGCTCACACCGACAAGATCTACACCGAGGTCTTGTGCCAACCGTATAAGACGTTCAGCGTCGTGTTCAACATCACATCCAAATTTTGAGCCAAATTTTACCAGGGCGTCTCTCGCGTCGCTCTTAATACGCAGTATAGCTCTAAAAGTGAAGGTTGAGTTAATAATAAGCATTTGGTTTTTTGCGTTAATTTTAGCTCTTGATCTAGTGATGATTTTTCTAGAAACCTTCAGAACAAGTTTAATTTTCGGTTAATGGGAGATTGCTGCACCTAGATCAGTGAAATAGAATAGAAGCGAGAGATTTTATCGAACTATAATATACTTTTTACCAACATTTCATATAGGTAAACATTTTTCAACAAAAATAAATTAATTTGGAAATTAATGAAATTGGAATTAGAAAAGAATGGGTAGCTATGGAGCGACATGATTTGATATTGCGAAAATGTTGAAAATAAAAAACAAACTGGATTACTTGTTGCTTTTTTAAAAATCCGATACAACTGAATATGGAACGATCCTCGAGATCTTCTTTGTGCTGTAACTTTTTGGCGCGATAGTCTGCGTAGCTGAAAAGCACCTAATAACGATCTTTCTTACATCCTTAAGAGCATGTGTACCAATTTTCGATCGGCCGTTTCTAAACAAAGTTATCGTGCAGACGGACGGACAGACAGACAGCAATACAAAATTTATAAGTATCTCGAGGATCGTTAATAATCAAATTTATACGGTCTTTCTAGATACATGTATGGAGTACCTACTTATTTTCACAAACTATCATCAAAAATTAAATTAGTCCAGAAAGCAAAGTTTGACTTAATTTTACTCTGAAATGTGACCTCAATTAACCCTCCCTAGTACTCGGCCAAGTAATCAGCACCCCTTAGCATATCTTGTGTTTCATGCACGTTTTAAAAAGCGAGGCTGTAGTACATACAATTGGCTCAAGAAGACAAATATACTTTCCAAGAAATTTAATTAGAAATCACACGAACACACATTCAGAAATTATTTTATTAGCTCAGGTGTAAAGATTTGTCATCCTCTCGATATACTATACCGTGGTCATCCCCCCATACTTCTATATAATATTA